TCAGAAATATAAATTCCCAGGGTTAGGGGAATAGAATTTAACATAAAATCACGACAAAGGCGATGAATACTAAATTTTTTTGCAGACACAGGAGAGATGATAAAACACTGGAAAACAAAATATTCCACTGATCAGGTTGTTTTAGGTGGAGATTTTAATGTAACTCTAGATGGATCAATTGAACGTCTCCATTCCTGGGGGCCACACCATATGTACAACAATATTTTTTTTTAAACTTAACCTCTACTACAAATTTGACAGACTGCTGAAGAATTAGAAATCCCAACACCAAACAATACTCCTGGTTCAATCCCTCTGGAAATGGCCAGAGCTCTAGGCTAGATTACTGGTTAATCCCTTATAATATGTTAGATAATATTTTGAGCTGTTAAATCTCAGCAGCTCCACTAACAGATCATTGTTCAGTCACCTTGCTTCTCTCTCTAGATAAATCTAAACCACCTTCAAATGTAGCTTGGAGGTTTAATAGTAATCTACTTAATAATAAAACTTTTTGTGCAGCAGTCCTGAACTTTATTGAGGATATCTCAGTAATGGAAATGTCACCCTTAAATAAGTGGGAGTGGTTCAAATTTAATGTTAGGACTACAGCAATAAAGACAGGTAAACTTGCTTCAAAACTGAGGAGACAGAAACAATCCCAACTTATTGGTAATATTAACTCTTAATGTTCAAAATCAGTTTTATCCTCTGAGGAGCTGAGTCAACTTGATGTTTTCAAATCTCAACTAGATGAAGTTTTTATAGATAAAGCAAGGGTGGGCTTTAATTCGCCCCAGGGCTCGGTGGATTGAAGACCTTGAAAAGAACTCTTCATATTTTTTCTATCTTGAGAAGCAGAGACGGTCCAAAAAGAAGATCCAGAAACTAATTATTAAAGGTAGTGTTACTGAAGATTTGGAATTAATACGTGCAACAATTAAAAATTTTTATAGCAATCTTTATTGTTCCAAGTATTCAGAATACAATTTCTAGTCTTTTTTCGATGAAATTCAGACATCTGTTATAAAAATTGATCGGGATTTTAAAAATCTTATGGAAGATGACTTAAGAATCAAAGAGCTTTCAATTCAATTCAGTTTATTTATATAGCGCCAAATTCACAACACATGTCATCTCAAGGCACTTTACAGATCAACCAGATCATACAGTCAAATTGATACAAAGTTTTCTATCTAAGGAAAACCAGTTGATTGCATTGACTCATTGACTCAAATACAATCCCTCACACTAAGCATGCTTGTAGCGACAGTGGAGAGGAAAAACTCCCTTTTGACAGGAAGAAACCTCCAGCAGAACCAGGCTCAGTGTGAGCGGCCATCTGCCGAGGCCGACTGGGGTTCAAGGAGACGGAAGCAGAGACACAAAAAGCAGCTGTAGAAGGTGGCCCCGTCCAGGAAACACACAGCCAGGCAGACGAGCTCCGAGCCAGCTCCCATTACAGAGGATGAAGAGAGCACATCCACTCAGTCACGGTCAGAGAAACAGGACCACACTGGAAAACAGGCCGATCTCCAACATCTATAAACAAGGGTGTTGATGGAAGCAGCACAGCTGATCTTTCTTTCCAGGATGACGTCACAGCCAAACAGGAACAGACGAGGCAAAGCTACTCTGAGGAAAAGCAGAGAGAGCAGAAGGTTAGAGATTGAACTAACAGATTCTGCAGAATAGGAGAACAGAGAGAGAATGAAGCAGAATGATGAAATGGGGGTCCCTATGTCCTCCAAAAGTCTAAGCCTATAGCAGCAGAACTATAGAGATAGCTCAGGATAACTTGAGCCACCCTAACTATAAGCTTTATCAAAAAGGAAAGTTTTAAGCCTAGCCTTAAAAGTAGACAGGGTGTCTGCCTCACGGACTAAAACTGGTAGTTGGTTCCACAGGTGAGGAGCCTGATGACTAAAAGATCTGCCTCCCATTCTACTTTTAGAAATTCTAGGAACCACTAGTAAACCTGCAGATTGAGAGCGAAGTGCTCTGTTAGGAACATAAGGAACAATCAGATCTCTGATATAAGATGGAGCTTGGCCATTTAAGGCTTTATATGTGAGAAGGAGGATTTTAAATTCTATTCTTGATTTAACAGGAAGCCAATGAAGAGAAGCCAGGATAGGCGAGATATGATCTCTCTTTTTAATTTTCATTAGAACTCTGGCTGCAGCATTTTGGATCAGCTGAAGGCTTTTAACTACAGTTTGTGGACTTCCTGATAGTAAAGAATTACAATAGTCCAGCCTTGAAGTAACAAATGCATGGACTAGTTTCTCAGCATCACCCCTGGACAGGAGATTGCTCATTTTTGCAATATTCCTCAGATGAAAGAAGGATATTCTAGAAACCTCTTTGATATGGGATTTAAATGACAGGTCCTGATCACAAATAACACCAAGATTTTTTACTTTATTATCTGAAATCAGTTTAATCCCATCCAAATGAAGTGACTGGCTAATCAGTTTCTTTTTCAGAGAATCTGGTCCAAAGACTATAACTTCTGTTTTGTCTGCATTCAGAAGCAGAAAGTTAAGAGTCATCCAGGTTTTTATGTCTTCAAGACATGCCTGTAATCTATGTAATGGGTTAGCTTCATCTGGATTTATAGACAGATATAGCTGGGTATCATCAGCATAACAGTGGAAATTAATCCCATGCTGTCTAATAACTCTACCGATTGGGAGCATGTATAAAGTAAAGAGAATTGGTCCTAGCACTGATCCCTGTGGTACTCCACAGATAACCTGTGAGCATGTGGAAGATTTGTCATTAACATGAACAAACTGAATTCGATCAGATAGATAAGATTTAAACCAGTCTAGTGCTGTTCCTTTAATTCCAACAAAATATTCAAGTCTTTCTAAAAGAATATTATGGTCAACTGTATCAAATGCAGCACTAAGATCTAACAGGACGAGCACAGATACAAGTCCATTATCTGAGGCCATGAGAATATCATTAGTGACTTTCACCAGAGCTGTTTCAGTGCTATGATGAGCTCTAAAGCCAGACTGAAACTCTTCAAAAAGTTCATTATGGTGTAAGTGATCGCAAACTTGTTTGGCAACTACTTTCTCAAGAATTTTGGATAAGAAAGGAAGATTGGATATAGGTCTATAATTAACCAAGTCATCTGGGTCAAGAGACGGTTTCTTAAGCAGAGGTTTAATTACAGCAACCTTAAAAGCTTTAGGTACATATCCCTGTAACAGAGATAGATTAATCACATCTAAAATGGAGGAGCAGATCAAAGGGAATTCCTCCTTAAATAACCTGGTTGGAACTGGATCTAACATACAAGTTGAAGGCTTAGATGAAGACAATAATTTTGCTAATTCAGAAAGTTCAACTGGATCAAAGCAGTCTAAACCCGGTTCAGATTCTTTCGTGGATGTTCTCTTCCCAACGACTTAAAAATTAAAGCTAAGTTTTATAAAAATTCAAAGTTGTCAAAAGGCAGAAAAGTCTTCAACCAAAAATCTAAAAAACAGGCAGAAGTCGCGGTCTTCCAGGTCCAGAGTGTTTTATTGAAAAACACAGAGCATACACACTGAGGTGATCTCCGGAGAACAACTGATAATACACTGTAAAAAAAGTCAGTAAATTTATTGCTGACTACGACACATTCGCGGTCGCTTTTAGATACATTTTTAGCCAGAATGGAAATGGAAAAAACCGTGAGTGAAACGGTGACTGGGACTGACTAGTATATATTTGAGGGAAAGTTAACATCTGCTCAAGAGCCCCCTGGTGGTTGAAGAAAAATCCACAAACCAGAAAATACAATATATGAAAAAAATACACTGAATGCTCTCTGGTATGAGGAGGCTGGCCGGATCCAGCATTGCCAGACCAAATGACACAGGCTGTAGTTTGGGGACCCCTTGTCTAGAGAGTTTTTCATTTTGTTATTGTGATAAATAGCAGGGTTTACAGTAAATGGAGACTGTTATTTGTCATGTAAACAAATAATTATCTAGTTTGCATTGCTGCTTGATCCTTCAGCATCAGCAGCAAGATTCTTTTAACTCTGTTCCTGTAGTGGTGTCCTGAACTCAACACAGTAAAGTCACTGTGCTAACTAAGGTTGCTAACTAGGGTGCTGAGAGCCCAGTAGGCCTGGTCCTTGTCAAGATGCTGCTACTGTCTTTGAAATCAAATTTCTGCTATTTTTGCACGTTCAGGAGGAGAAGGGCAACACATCACAGGTGAGTCCCTTTCACGGTTTTAACTGAAGTTAGCTAACTTTAACCAACTGACAAAGAAATGTGTAGTTTCTGAGCCATGCTGTTTATGTATATGCACTGCAGCTATATATTTTTACTATACGGAACATTTAATCTTCACAGATGCAACACTTCCATTAATGTTTCTGTAGGAACGGCTGCATAGATTATATTTCTGGTCTACTTTAGACTACATGTGCTTAAAGTTATTGTTAATGGCAGAAGCAACTTTTTCCAAGTTTGGTTCAATAATTAATTTGAATTACTTTGAGTGTGAAATGTTCATGCATGCAAGTTAAATCTCTGAAGAACATGTTAGCTTTTGTTTCAATACTTTGGTAATACTTAGAAGTATAAAGCTTGGCATCAGAGATATTATTTAATATTTTCCTTTGACGTCTTGACTCTCACCCCCAAAATACTTGCACTAAAGTCACTGGGTCCATGACAGTTGAAGGATTTTAAAATAAGAGAATTTAAATATTAATATTTTACAGCTTTTCTCAGTTTGGGTGCATCTCTCAGAACAGAATTGAAATTCCTAAAACTACCTATTCAATCTTCAAATTACTGTGTCACTTCTGCACATCAAAAAATTATTTTTGCAAGTTTTGCTTTTGTACATCATGTAGCTGGTTATGTACACTTCTATGCTTTTATAATTGTAATTTGCTTTTATCGTCTTGATCAAAATATGTTAACCCTCCTGTTGTCCTCGGGTCAAAATGACCCGCCACTGTGTTAACCCCCCCCCCCCCCCCCCCCCCCCCCAAAATCCCCTAAATGTAATTTTTTTAACTTGAGATTTTAAGACTTTTCCTAGATTGGCCCAGACAATAGAAAAAGTTCAGTGTTGCTTTTAGTCTCATTTCCATGTAAGCTGTACAAAAAAAGGTACAAAGATGGTCTTCAGGTCAAAATGACCCGTGAGGCAAATGGAGTTGAAATCAAGGTCACAGAGTTATTTACAAACCATAAAATGTTACAAAGTTTTAGTTGTGTCTCAGATCAATCAGTAGCAGAAGTAAGCAGAGAGTGGAAGGCCAATTTTCCGAGCCACAATGCCACTCAAACTCTTTCACACCTACTCAAGACTGATGCGATTTGATGACCGTGAATCAAGACCAGCAAGATGTATGACAGACAAACTTGCAGCCATAAGAGAGGTATGGGACAAGTGGGTGGAGCGGTTACCCTACCTCTACAATCCAGAGCCTGATGTAACAGTGGATGAGCAACTGGTTCCATTTAGAGGTAATCTGTTTTCATATTTGTAATAAAAGTGATTTTCACTATTGATTTCTTTGACTGTTTTCTGTGACACTGATACTAATCACTGATGCTAATGTCTTTTGTCCAAAGGTTGTTGTCCTTTCCAGCAGTATATGCCCAGCAAGCCAGCAAAATATGGGATCAAGTCATGGGTGGCTTCCGAATCAAGCTATGCTTGGAAAATGCAAGTCTATACTGGGAAGTCAACCAGTGGATGCCCAGAGAAGAACCAGGGGTTGCGAGTTGTGCTTGATGTGACAGAGGGACTGAGGGGTCACAATGTGACATGTGACAATTTCTTCAACTCTTATGAACTCGGACAGCAGCTCCTGAAGAGGAAGATCACCATGGTTGGTACAGTTCGAAAGAACAAGCCTGAGCTCCCACCTGCACTGCTTGGGTCAAAGGAGAGAGAGGTCTTCTCCTCAAAGTTTGCCTTCACACCCACCACCACTCTAGTTTCCTACCTCCCAAAGAAAAACAAGAATGTAGTTCTTCTGAGCACACTGCACAAAGACGGCGACACTAGTGACCGTGAGGACAGGAAGCCAATCATTATCCTGGAATTCAACCGAAACAAAGGAGGTGTGGACAACCTAGATAAGGTGATTGGAGCATATAGCTGCAGAAGAATGACTGCCCGCTGGCCCCTGGTCATCTTCCACAACATCATTGATGTGTCCTCCTACGATTGCCTTTGTGATTTGGATAGAGATCAACCCAACCTGGATGTCTCATAAGCACAACAAGAGGAGGGTGTTCCTGGAGCAGCTAGGAAAGGCACTTGTAACTCCACTCATTGAAAGAAGGAAGCATGTCCCCCGCACAGAAGCCTCAGCAGCAGTTGTGAAAGCTATTCAGAGTGCAGCAGCTCCTGATCAACCTGAGGATCCATCTACCACAGCCACTTCCCCAGCTAAGCCAAGTAAGAGGAAGAGATGTCAGTTCTGCCCTCAGACTGTAAAACACATACTGTGTGCTGCAGGTGTAAGAAATATATCTGCAAAGACTGTGCACTTGCATACTGCCCTACATGTGCCAATTAGTTGAATGGGTTATGTTATTTTTCATATTTTTGTATTGTACATCCTCTTGTTCACTGGAGAAAAGTAAAAGAAAATTAGTCACTGTGATGAATAAAAATGCATTCGAAACTCATTTTGCACATTTTTTTTCTTAAGCTATAGAAATTCAAGTGGAGAGGGAAAACTCAAGTATTCACACATTTTGTGGTGAGTGACAATATACAAGGTAGAATTTAAAATTCAATTAAGCTGCTTATATTGGGGGTTTAGTGAAGACGGGTCATTTTGACCCGGAGGATAAAGGGTGTATACAGAAAATGAGGACAACAGGACAACAACGTGTCTGTGTTGAATTCTCAACTTCCAAAATAGCATCAGTTCATTGTGTAAGTCTTAACATGCATAAGTCTTAAAGTTGTCATAATGTGAATCATATATTAATTAATTTATATTCTATTATTTTCTAAATCTGTCCTGAATTGGTAAATTGCTCCCAAGTGAGTCCTGAGTTTCTCTAACAGGTCAGTGTATGAACCATTAGCTCAACCAACGATCAACCAGTTTTCTGAAACAGATTGGAGGTGCATCTTGTGAACCATCAGTTGGCAACATTATGCTCTATATAGTCAGAACACAACACAATGTTACATGTCTGAGAACTGATGAACAAGTATCTGGACAGAGTGAACAGCCAGAGAGAAGAAGAGGAGTGAGGCTGAGGAGGAAATAGTTGGGAGGAAAGCAGAAGAAGAGTCAGAAGAGGCTGAGGACATCTGCCAGTTTCCATCAGTCCAACATCAGGACATGGCTGAGACCCACAACATGACGCTGATGGAGGTCCTCCCACCCTACTGTTCATTCCTTAACCCCACTGAGGAAAAAAGATCCTCAGTGGAGTTAAGGAACAAAGTGACTATGGAAATTAAAATGTAATGTAATTTCTACAGCACTGTACAGTTTTCCTTGAGGAGATTGTCCTGTGGCTCCTTTTCTACTTTTTTTGTTCTCTGCATTTCTGTCTTTTTCTTTCTGAATCACCAAGGCATGGTCCATGAATAAATTATAGCAAAAGCGTAAATCAGTGTTTCTCAATCCTGGTCTTCAGCGTCACCCTGTCCTGCAGGCTTAGGTATTTCCCTTCTGCCACACACCTGAATTGTATCTCTGGATGATTAACAAGCTTCTGCAGTACTTGATTGTCATCCAATCATTTGAATCAGCTGTTCTGGAGTAGAGGCACATCTAAAACATGCAGAGCAGGGGGTGGTGAGGAGCAGGGTTGAGAAACACTGGCGTAAATGATCCTTTTGTAGTCTCTTCTCATGACTAATCAATTTGACTGTCTTATCTGTACATAGAGAGACTATAACTTATTATTTTGAGTCACTGATATGTTAACAGACAGAATTTTAAGAGCTGAACTAAGGATTTTGAAAGCAAACAAATGCTATTTTTCCTGTTTCTACAAATTGTTTTGAGAAATGCGCTTACTGTTTTGTAAATGCCAACAATGACTTGAGAAATGCACCAAAAGTGACTGAGAAAAACTAACCTATAGCATAAATTGTCTCAGCTGTATCAATTTGTTTGCCTGTATGAAAAGTGTTCACATTTACAGCTTTGTTTCTGCTAGCTTGCAGGAAATGTAACTTACATAAATGGTTGAAGACAACCTATTGGCCTTCATGAGACTCAGATAAATGGTGAGTATCTATTTCATAAATTGCCTAAAACAGTTATATTTGTTTTTATTTGTTTTTTGTTTGTGTATTTTGTCTGGTTGCAGACCAGAGGATCACACCTGTTGACAACAAACAAAGGTTTAACTACTGAATTTTCAGTCAGAAATGATCGCACCACCTGGTTGAAGTACCTGTGTCCATATGCAAGTCAACAAAGGTGAAACAAACATTTAAGCGAATAAGATGTTCATGTAGTGCATCTTTCTAACTTTTTCTTTTTGTTTTCCAGCAGAGAGGAAACACCCGATTGACAACATGCGAGTCTCAATTTCAACCTGTGACTGGGAAGACTACAACCATCCTGAGCAACGTCTGATCTCAGCGACTTGTGACTCTCAACCCAGAACAAGAATCCTTTTATCACCATTTTGTCTTCTACAATATGTTATCTCTTATGTGGACACATACTGTTTGTTTTGTTTCTGTTTTCCAGATCTCAGTAATACCGTGAGGAAACTGGACAGAAAATAGAATCAGTTCTTTTTTTAACTTGACTTTTTAAATAGAAATTGTTTCTTTAAGTGGATTACTCGTAATCTGTATTTTTGTTTAATTAGAAATTATTTTCTTTATAACTTTCTGTATAGAAATGCTTGACAAGTTACACTTCCTTGTGTGTTGTACTATAATTTGTATGGTAAAATTCTGGTAGGAACAGAGACCAGTAATTTACCATAAGTTTTTTTTGGGGGGGAGGGTTTACAATAAAATGTCAATATATCATCCAGTCTGGATGTGTTTTTCACTCATGGAGATATTATGCCTCAGTCAGCATGACCGTATTTACTACGGCAAAACCACATTTTATTTTTTTTTAAATATTTTAGGAAGTACGGTATTTTACCGTATTTTAAAAATACGGTAGAATCCTGCATTTACAAAATACGGTAATAAACTGGCAGCTGTGGTTGCCAGAATTTTACCGTATATTAAAAATACGGTAAAATCCTGCATTTAGCAAATACGGTAAAAAACTGGCAGCTGTGGTTGCCAGAATTTTACCGTATTTTAAAAATATGGTAAAATCCTGCATTTAGCAAATACGGTAAAAAACTGGCAGCTGTGGTTGCCAGAATTTTACCGTATTTTAAAAATACGGTAAAATTCTGCATTTAGCAAATACGGTAAAAAACTGGCAGCTGTGGTTGCCAGAATTTTACCGTATATTAAAAATACGGTAAAATCCTGCATTTAGCAAATACGGTAAAAAACTGGCAGCTGTGGTTGCCAGAATTTTACCGTATTTTAAAAATACGGTGAAACCCTGCATTTAGCAAATACGGTAAAAAACTGGCAGCTGTGGTTGCCAGAATTTTACCGTATATTAAAAATACGGTAAAATCCTGCATTTAGCAAATACGGTAAAAAACTGGCAGCTGTGGTTGCCAGAATTTTACCGTATTTTAGAAATACGGTAAAATCCTGCATTTAGCAAATACGGTAAAAAACTGGCAGCTGTGGTTGCCAGAATTTTACCGTATTTTAGAAATACGGTAAAAAACTGGCAGCTTTGGTTGCCAGAATTTTACCCTATTTTAGAAATACGGTAAAAAACTGGCAGTTTTGGTTGTGTAAAGGAAGAAAATATTCTAACATAGTTAACTTTGGAAAAAGGTTGGCTTTTCATTTTCTTCCCTTCCCCAGGTCCACTCGGCGAGCTGCGTGTGGTCACTATGAAAATCAGCAAGGCGTGTTGACATCACAGAATTACAGAGTTTAATCCAATATAAGACAATGCATACACTTAGAAATAAGACAATGCACAAACCTACACCAGAAACTGCAGAACAACAGAGACATACATTCCATTACCTGACATGAATGGAGAGAAGGAAATAAAGCAAAGACGTACAAGACATCTTTGGAGAGTTTGCAAGAGCAAAATCTGATCTGTAACTTCTATATAGAAAGCTTTATCCTCTTGTAACTAATCCATTCAAAAAGGGGCTGGCCCTCGGTCCTCCAACCAGACGGCATCTCTGACACTGCCTAGAGCTTCCCCAAATTTACTGCAAACATCTGGGGTCATTTGCTTCTTTGTTTTAACAAGAAAAGGCGGAAAGCTTGTCCTGTCATCTAGAACTCTCAGGGTCATAAAACACAAGATAAGCTCTCACAGACTCGGTGTGGAATGCGGGGGGCCTCACCATAAATTCTCAAGAACAAACTTAAATCTAGTAATCTGGTTCAAGGAAAGGTTATCTTCACAAACTTGTTCAAAATAAGAAATATGTTCACAAGGAGAGTATACAACATACCTTTTACACATGCCATAAGATTAACACTTAAAGACTAAAAATAATCATTTTTCTTTAACAGTTGCCAGAATTTTACCGTATAAAGACGGTAAACTTCTGGCAACTCAGCTGCCAGTTTTTTACCGTAAAATGAGGCCGTTTTTTTTACAGTGTACAACGAAACAGCTTCTCTTTTATACATTTCGGGCTGTTGGGGGCTCCTCCCCCAAGCTCCTCCTTTCTTTTCACTATTTTAGATACATTTTCTTCGGTTAAATCTAATTAATTTTATCCTACCGGAGGAAAGTCCTTTTCAAAACATATTTTTTTTATATATTTAATCAAAAAAAACTTTATTACAGGTCATGATTATATTTCTTATAAGTCATAATAACATATGTTGCCATTAAATCAAAAACACATCATATTCCAGTCATTATTATTTCAGAGCAAAGTTTTCATTCAGTGATTCATGATTATAGAAACTTCTGATTAACTTGGTTGGCATAATCTTGTTACTTAAACCTCCTGTGTCTCTATTCTTCCAAGCATATGTCTCATGCATAGGCCTTATTTGGGCTCGGCTGTCTGTTTGCTGGACATCTGTGCTCCCTTAACTTAGCCTCAGTGCAGAAGCCACTTTTAGCACAACGTGCTAGACTCACTGTCTTGGTTTGATCTAAAGTTGCACTTAAAGCACCTAGAGCAGCATCTTGCTCTGATCTAAAGTTGCACTTCGAGCAGCATGCCAGACCCTCTGTCTCTTTTCTACTACATACCAAACTTTTTTAGACCTTTAAAGCAAGACTTTATTTAATGTGAAAGACATGTATATATTTTAATCATTGGTGCACATTAATTCCCTACAATTCCATGACTACCTGAGGTACAATCGCGGATAGAGGAGTGCTTATGATCTTATTTTTAATAAGATCAATCTTATTTATAAAGAATCCCATAAAATCATTGCTGCTAAGAGCAGGTGGAATGGACGGTTCAACAGAGCTATGGCTCTGGGTGAGTTTGGCAACTGTATTAAAAAGAAATCTAGGATTATTCTTATTCTCCTCTATTAATGAGGAGAAGTATGCTGCTATTGCTTTACAAAGGGTCCTCTTATACAGCAGTAAACCATTTTTCCAGACTTGGAAGGACTCCCGCAGGCCTGTGGAGCGATATCTTCTCTCCAGTTTCCTAGCATTTTGCTTCAAAGTACCCAGCTCTTCATTAAACCAAGGAGCAAGCTTTCTATTTTTAATGGTTTTCATTTTCAAAGGAGCTGCGTTGTCTAAGGCAGTACGCAGAGAACTAGCAACCCCATCAACAAAATCATCAACCTGTGAAGGGGAATAAGCTATGCTTTTGCACTCTGCAGCACTGCTCAGCGACACAGAGGAGAGAGAAAGTGAAGCAGATTCTTAAAAATTTATAACTGCACTATCTGATAAAGATCTACTAAATTTGAACCTTCTTTTGGGGGATGAGAACTCTGGTAAAGTAATCCTGAAGGTTATTAGAAAGTGGTCAGAGAGGACAGGGTTGTGAGGAAATACTGTTATTTCTTCACATTCTATGCCGTATGTCAGCACAAGATCCAAAGTATGAAGATGAGAATGTGTGGGACTATTCACATTTTGAACAAAGCCAATAGTGGCTAAGATAACATTAAAGGCTGCTCTTAAACTATCGCCTTCAATGTCAGCATGGATGTTAAAATCTCCCACTATGATGACCCTGTCAGTATTTAATACCAAATCAGAAAGGAACTCTGAAAACTCATCTAAAAATTCAGACTAAGGACCTGGTGGATGATACAAAGTTACAAAAAGAAGAGGTTTTCTTGCCTTGAAATTTGGATCAGGGTAATTAAGGGTTAAATGTTCAAAAGAGTTGTAGGTATTAACTGTTTTGGGAGTAATCAGTAAGTCAGACTGGAAGATTGTTGCTACTCCTCCTCCTCGCCCAGAACTTCTGGGTATGTGAAAATTTAAATAGCTTGAAGGAGTTGCCTCATTTATGCTCACATAATCCTCTTGCTGCAGCCAGGTTTCTGTAAGGCAAAACAAGTCAATGTGATTATCACAAATCAAGTCATTAACTAGCAGACTTTTAGAGGAAAGCGATCTTATGTTAAACAGACCGCATTTAATTGTTTTAACTTTTTCCCCAATTGAAGTTATTTTGATTTTAATTAGATTATCATGATTTACTCCTTTGGGAATCTTTGCTAATTTATTAGATTTTGGTTGTGGGCAAGACACTGTCTGGATGGAGTAAAGAGTGGGTAACAGTAGAGAAGCTGCAGAGATGTGTGTTAAACTACAACTCTGCTTCCTGGTCTGCACCCTGGACTGAAGTAGCATTACATCAAATGGCAAAGTGTAAATCTCCAGTCCTAGACGGGTCAACTATGAAACAAGGTTTGATAACTCTGATCCTCAAAGGCAACAAATACCCTTTATTACTAGACAACTGGAGACCCATCACTTTTTTATGTACAGATTGTTATGGTTCCAGATTAAAGGGGTTGTTCTTTGTTCTTTTTCAGTGCCTCTGTGCATCCACCAGATGGTGCCATTGTTCCTCTGTTGGCCTGGAGAGCCTCTTCCTGCTCTCAACTACTCACACCTGCAGCTCGTTGGTCATTACAGTCTGAGGAGTGTAAGAGCGGCAGACTGTCACCATCTCCTCGCCAGAGTGTTTGCCAGTATTGGGTACTCTAGCCCCTCTGAGTTTGCTGAGTCTAACTTTGAGCTCCTTTTCTGAGACCTCTAGTCCTAATCTTGTTTCTTTGTGAATCTCCGGAAGGGTTTTTACAGATCCACTGGATAAGCCTGGTCCTTCAAGCCTTGGAAGGGACCCTCTCGTCCCTCTGAGAAAAGGAAACAAATTCACCTTATCAGAACGCCGTCCACATGAGGAAAACTGGTGACAGTCTGCTCCGCTGCTCCTCAGGGCCACCGCAGTCTGCTTGTCTAACCTCCAGCAAAGTAATCTCCATATTGGTGCTAAGCTCCACAAACAGGAACTCCCCAAGCTCCAATAGTGAGTCCTGGTAAAGCTTTCATTCTGACGTCGGCCAGTTTTCCAACCGAACTTGAACTCACCACTTTGATCTCTTCCGATCGCTGGAACCTCCCCAAGCTGGAAAACAGTTTTCAGTGTCTTTGTAACTGTTTTTACTGATAAACTGTTAAACCTTTATCTATCTCTGTGAGTGCTTCTGCATGTGGACCAAACACATTAGACCCATCATGACACAGATTACAAAATTTTAGCTCTATTTTATGCCAGTCGCTTAAATAGTGGATTAGGATTGATTATTAATGAATGCCAGTCAGTTTATTTAAAGGGAAGAAATATCCATCATCATTCTAGACAGATTTTTTATATGATTGATTATTGTTATTTATTGATCCGGACAGTTTTATTTTATTCCTGGATTTCTTTAAGGCCTTTGACTCAACATTGCTTTATAATTAAAACCTTAAAAGATTTTGGCTTTGGGGAAAAATTTTGTAATATAATTAAATTATTCTACAGTGATTAAAGTAGTTCAGTTTCCTTGGGAATGAGTATGACACCAAGTTTTTTCTATGTCAAGAGAAATATGCCAGAGCTGCCCAATTTCACCTAAATCATTTATACTAACAACTCAATGCTTACATTACTAATCATGAAAAATTCAAATTTACATGGTATTAACATTTTTGATAGGGAATTCAAAATAAGTCAATTTGCTGATGACACAACAATTTTTCAAAGTGATAAAACAATGGTAGAAATTGCGCTTAAATCTATTTTAAAGTTTTCCAGAGCGTCTGGACTGTCTGTCAATATTGAAAAATGTAAACTTCTCCATTCCAGCTCTGACTCGTCTGTTGCCTCTATTACAGTTAAGTCCAAAGTTAAATATCTGGGAATATTGATTTCAAAAAACGTTATTAGAAGAGAGGGAGAAAATGTTGGTAGTTGTTTGATTGGCATGAAGAGATCCTTAAGTCATTGGTTAACTAGAGACCTGACCATTTTTGGACGAACTCTTTCGTCCACTGCTGAAGAGTTTCTAAATTAATTCATCTATGCCATTCTGCTTTTATTTCTGACAAAAATATCAGGAAAGCTAATTCAATAATCTTTCAATTTATCTGGAGGAATAGAACTCACCATCTACATCGATCACATCTTGTTAAAGATTAGGATAAGGGTGGTAGTAGAGCCTTAGATTTTGAGACTCTGATTGGTTTAGGATAAATTGTCTAAAGATCTTTTTGTCTCATTCCAATTCAATCTGGTTTCATATCCCTAAATCTATATTTAAGACACTTGGTGGCTTGGATTTCTTGCTTAAATGTGCTTTTGAATTAAGCAAGATTAACATTTCACTGTCTAATTTTCATAAATACGTTTTAAAATTTTGGAAGATGATATTTACTCATAATTTCAAACCTTATGGATCTGTAGTGTGGAATAACAGAGCAATATTGATAAATAGAAAATCTATTTTTAAAACTGAATTGTATGAAAGAGGTATTTTATTTAAAACTTTAATGGACAGTCACGGTGTTTTCCTAAATCATAGAGAGTTTACTAATACATTTAATCTATGCTGTACTTGTAATGAATACCTAAAAGTATGCAAAGCTATTCCTGAAGTCTGATAATCTCATTCAACACACCTTAAAATATTCAAATGTTTCTCCATCTTTACCCAAATTGAAAATTGGAGAATATTTTGTGACTGATCAAAAATGTAATAATGCTTTACTTGTGACTCCCTTTAAATCTAAATTATTACTAACCCTATTTAAAAAAATAAATAAATAAATCTAAATTATTCAATGATTACTATTTTTTTTACAACTAATTTGCTTATTTGAGAAGGCATTCTCTAAGTTTGTTAAATGGCCGGTTTCACCAAAGGTTAAAGAGACTCAATATTTACACAGCGGCAGAAGTTTTGTAGAAAAGATTTAAATGTGATTTAACATGCTGTGCCTTTTGTGAATTTCTGGATGAATCCCTTAATCATCTTTTTTTTTTCCTGTCCCTTTTCTCTTAAACTATGGAGAGACATCAAAAATTGGTTGTCCCTTAAAAGTGAGGACATCCAAGAAATAACAATCAAACGGGTGTTGTATTATGTTGATGACCTTGATGGTAAAATTTCAGATATGGTTAAGATTGTTTTTTTGCTTGTCAAATATCATAAACATTGCTGTAAATGAAGAGGTTCTACTCCTTGTTTTGAATTTATTTTCTTAATTAATTTAAATCGTATTACACTTCATTGCCAAAAACTGCCAGTATTTTTACTTTTCTTTTGTTTTAAATCGTGCCTTGCTTTTAGCCCCATATTTCTGTCTATTCTTTTCTCTACCGATGTTGTAATGTTTGTACCTCAACGAGTCTTTGTACACTATTGGTTTATTTTATAATAAGAAAGAAAGAAAGAAAGAAAGAAAGAAAGAAAGAAAGAAAGAAAGAAAGAAAGAAAGAAAGAAAGAAAGAAAGAAAGAAAGAAAGAAAGAAAGAAAGAAAGAAAGAAAGAAAGATTATTGTTTTTATTTTTTACTGATTAACGCTAAATTCATAAAATCACTACCAGTTGATAGTTTTATGTATAAATAATGATCCATTGATTAATTCTGCTGAACGAACTTTTCGTTTAAAGACCTTTAATTAGAAGGCAGGATAGGAACCTTTCTGTACCAATTGTGTTTCTTACCGGCCATAAAAACACTGCAGGACCGGTTTGGTTCGCGGTGCTTTCCTGTTAGCTCCGCTCAGATCAGAAACCTCCGGGATGTTCTCCCTGCTGCGGAAAAGGTCCTACGAGAAGCTGCCTGTGCGGATAGTGGAGGATCACCATCATGTGAGAGAAGCAGAAATCCAACATTTAAACAATAAGTCACTTCAGTTATTTATTCACTGAATGAAAGAAAAAACATTTAAAACTAAAAGGAAAAACCTTCAGCCAGCGGAAACTCTGAGGTCTGCATCGCAGGCAGCGGCTTTAATTTTCACCTGAAGTGATTAAATTAAAGTTTATCAGCAACAAACTTTATAATCACACAAAACAAAGGAGGTCTGGAGCAGATTTTAGTGGGATTATCCTGATGAACAGAGGATGTTTGGAGGTGGACTTTCTAGCCTAAAAACCTGTTAGAAATGTTTTTCAACTCATAAAGTAAATAAAGATAAACAAGCTGAGCGCAGAAGTTTCAAAGCAACTGAACCAGAGTTTGATCTGGAATCCAGATTTCTGCGTTTGCTGATGCTGAAATCAAGCAAACATTATGACCCTCATGTAGCATGAAGCCATTCTTCCATGAATAGATCGTCTCACATAAATAAAGCCCAAAGCACAGCATCATGTCCAAGATGGTTCCAAATAAACCAAAGTTATGTTATAAATGTAGGAAGGTTACTGTGAAAGAACACGACAACATGCCTGTTTAGCAGTTGAGGAATCAGAGCCTGATAAACAGAATCTTAATGGTTTCCTGAGTTAATGATGATGTTAGCTGTTAGCCCAGCTTTGCTGACTGCAGGAAAACTGATGGTAGAATAAACACTATATTGTTGCAGGTGGTTTATCACATCTACAGAGCCGTCGCATCAAGACATCTGCCTCTCAGTAACATCAAGATGCTCCATCTGGACTCCCACCCTGACCTGCTCATCCCCGTCAACATGCCTGCTGACACGGTGTTCGATAAGGAGAAGCTCCTCAGGTAGAAGTTGTCGCTTCTATCAGACTTTCTCCAGTCTCCTTCAGGAGGTCTTTGGGTTTAATGGGCTGCAGGAGGTAACATCTATGTAGGAAGATCTGAGTCCAGCTCTGCTCTGCTGCAGAAATGGGCTGATGCTTAGAGTCCTTAATCCCTCCTTCAGCTCCTCATGACACATAAACACACATTTCTATCCCACCTTCTATAAAACGATGTTAAAGGAATCAGCCGCATCGATTCACTTCCTTAGCAAGTCAGCTAATATCTGTGACCCTGCTTCACTAGAGGCAGTGATGTTCTGATCTAGTCTACATAATCTAGCTGCTCTATGTTATTAGTATCTGGGCCTATCTCTACCCTGTATAGCTCACTTAATCCATTTGATCGCCGGATGAACATAGAACTCTGAAAGCCATTTTTCATTATTTCTGTTGCTTTTCTGTGTAGCGAGCTGAGTATAGAGAACTGGATCCTGCCCATGGTGTATGCGGGTCATTTAGGCCACGTGGCGTGGCTTCACCCTTACTGGGCTCAGCAGATCAAAGAAGGAGAGCACATGTTCAACGTCGGCCGAGACTCGTCCACCAACACCATCAGGTAGGAAAAAAACAGACAGAAATATTTCACTGACCTGTTAGCGTCAGCAGAGAAACAGACGACAGGATTCTGCTTCACTTCAACAGTTTCCTTCAGACTGAGGTCCGTTAATTCAGTCACTAATTGTTTGGTTCCAAAATAAAATAAAATAAAGAAATCAAATATAAATGAAAGCACAATATTTATAAATCTCAACATCCCCACTAGCTCTCACATTTCTATTATTTCATTTCAATACAAAATTCATCACCAAACAAACGTGTTAAATTTCATTAACTTAAACTTTGTTGCTGGTTTTGTTTCTGCAAAATATCATCATTATTCCACAATGTTTGCATCATAATCTAAACACAGGATTTTCTTGCTAAAGAAAAACCTCCCTGACTGTCCTAACCTCTAACCCTGACCCTGACCCAGACCCAAACACTCCCGATTCATACTTTTCTCCATCAATGTTTTCTAACAATTGCTGTAGAAATAAACATTGCTGTACAGCTGCAGCTAAAGTCGTGTCTTTTGGTCCATTTTTATTTCGGTTAAACCAGTAACCTGTAGTTCTCCGTCTATCGCGTCACTATTTGCATGAATCAATTTATAATTTTCACCCTTTTTTCTTACACAGTTTTCGTCTTGTGTACCTCTTAGATATCTTAAAACATGCTCAACTGTGCTCCACTTTTCTGTGGTAGGTCTTGTGATAAATGTGATAGTTTGCTCACTACTAAACTTAAGTCTGGTTTTGTGCAAATTGCTGAATAGATTAAACTGCCTCTGTATTTTCACTCAGATCCTCATCAGTGTTGTTTAATTTCTGTTCCTCTGGACTTTTGCTCATCAAATCTCTCAAGTATTTTCTTAACGTTCTTATGTTGTGACATTTTAACACAGTTCATAATCTTCCTCGTAATCAATACCAAGAAAATGTGTTAAGATGTTAGTTTAGTTTAGTTCATCTTTCCCATCATGACTCAAAACGATAGAAAGCAAGTTATACAAAAACGACACTAAAATCATAAAAACACTGAAAACATTGAACAAAGATTTTAGGTGAAGCATAGCTAGCATGTGGCGCTTTGCCCCCCACCCCCTCCCCCCCCTCCCCCATGGTGGTCGTTATAGCAACCATATAAGGACATAAATCATAAAGGCCATAAAAAGATATTCCCCAGATGGATCCAGGGAGTATTTTTCTGTGTTTACTCTAGATATTGTTTTTAGATTGGGTCTGTTTTGTAGCCGTAGCCAAATGTTGCTATGTCTCTTTAAAATGTCTAGTTAGTGATCTGCAGTCTTCTTGGATTAGCGCCATTAGAAGCAGGCAGGTTCACATCCAGACGTTTTCATTTGGACCTTTATCAACCTGCTGATCCATGTCCTCTTGTCCATGTCCTCTTGTCCTTGTCCTCTTCTCCTTTCGCAGGGTGACCAGTTCTGACAACTACTTCCTTAGTGACGGTCTGTATGTTTGTGATGAGCAGCTGCAGGACTCAAAGCTTCTCAGACTAAACGTAGTCGGAGTTCATCCTGTCCAACCAGCTCCAGGTAGAACCAGTTTCACTCCAGAAACATTTATTTTAATAAGAAAAGTGTCCAAAACCTGAATGTGAAGTTGCTCATTGATTGAAGATGTAATGGCGGCCATCTTTAGCTGACCTGCAGCCCAGAGCATCAGAGACTGAACATCAGCAGGTCCTCCTCAGGCGGTCCTCTTTAGAAGGCTCATCAGTTCCAGCATCATCGCCTCGCCCAGTGCAGACTGGAGATGAATGACTTTCATCCAGTCATCCTCAGTCCACCATTGCTTCTCCTCAGCCCGTTCTAACCTACTTTATTTCTGTTCAGGTATTAATGATGCTTTCCTTTAGCTTTCCTGGATGGAATAATTTCCTTTAGGCGCTTTCTAACAGTTCGCTCACAGACACTGACTCCAGTTTCCTCCTATTTCTTCCTCATTTCAATCGGTGGTTTCTGATGGTTTTTTGAGATATTTTTTATCCATGGTTTTCTTCTTCTGCAAAAAGTTTCACTATTCTTCTCTGTTCTCATAAAAAAATCTTTACAATCTGCATTAGTTTTTTCCAAATGATGTTTTTCCAAAGATATTAATGTCATCTTCATTAGAGCCCAACCAATTAGTTGGTGAGCCTATTAATGGGCCGATTTTAGCGTCTGCTTCATGAATCAACATCACCCAAAAATCTGCCAATGAAAAAATCCCATTTTTCCTGCAAGAGGAAAGAAACTTCGGACTCTCCTCCTTTGCTCGTCGCTAAGCGCTAAGCTGCACGTCGCTAAGCGCTAAGCTGCTCGTCGCTAAGCTGCTCGTCGCTAAGCGCTAAGCTGCTCTGTGCTGCCCTTCCCCACAAAAACGCTCACAGCTGCCGTTAGCTTTAGCATGAACAGTTTACGCTAAGCTGTGATTTGGTGAAATTACACTTTAGTCCAAAGGTTATCGTGGAAACATGCTGTTAGTGTGTTAAGGAGAGCCGACGAATTATGCTGTAGGTTTGATGAACATATTAGCATTTTAGTTCTGTGAAATAAACATAATTTAAAAGGAAAATCATAATAATACATTTCATACTGACATGCAGGCTGAACTCATACATTCAGAAGTTAATGTTTTCATGAAACTCCATTTTTAAAAGGCTCTAACTTCATTATTCAATTATAAGTAAAGTAAAATCTTTTAAGGTCATTGAAGGAAAGAACTTTTCGGTTTTTTGTAAATATGACAAATCCAGCTTTCCAGGTGTTTTTGTGACAGAATCTTAAAAAATATCAGACTCTAAACGCCTCCGATTAGCCAGTCTGTTTTTATCTTAAATGCTCATCTGTAGAATAGATTTTTTAAAGCACCCAGTATCGATATCAGCCTTATCGGTTGACCTCTAAGCTGCTTGTTTCTGTTTTTTAACAAATGTGTAAAACAACAAAACTTCTTCTTTTGCTCTGATTCATGTTTGTTGTTAGAAAAAAAGATTTTGAGGTTTCTTTCTTTAACAACCACCGACTCTGTGAAACTAAGTTAGTTTTTAAGAAATAGTTGGTTGATTATTAAATTAAATATAGGAAACTTGATCAATGCCTATTCAACCTTTTAATTTTCCTGCCTGATTTCTGCTCTTCTTATGACTTTCAGAGCTTTTCGTTTATTTTATCATCTTTTCTGACTTCTGATTTCAGAGCTTGACACAAAGAACGAGTCGCTGAGCAAAAAGCTTCGGACGGATCTGAGTGAGGATGGGCAACTCTCCTCAGCAGCAACTTCCACATTGTTGCCAGAAGAGGGCAGCAGCTGCCAGGAAGGGCTGAGCAGCAATGGAACCCACCGTGTAGATGAAGGACAAACCAGTTCTGTTGTTGGGAGATTAACTACCTTTCTTGGTGAAGCCAATCTATACATCCTGGACATTGATCTAGATTTCTTCTCCTGTAAAAACCCATTTAAAGAAATGTACACTCAGGTATCTCATCTATCCAACCGTCAGTCAGGCTGTGTTTATATCTTAGCTTGTATCTAAGATATCACTCATTAATTAATCACTTTTGTTTATTTTTTTGTGTTTTTAAATGATAAGTTGTTGGTTTAATCTGTTTAAATGTTGCTACAAAGGAACGTCCGTCTGTCTGTCTGTCTGTCTGTCTGTCTGTCTGCATCCTGCTGTAGTTTCTGTTCCAACTAAGCTGATGTCTGTCCTGATCTGCAGGAGGAGTTTTCCCTTCTGAAGGAGCTGTACGCCTTCAGAGAACCCAGCGTTGGTGCTGATGAGGTCAGAAACGAGTCCTCTGGAAAAGGGAAGCTTCTTCCTCGCCGCTGACTAACAGGAGATGTTATGTGTGTCTGAAGGCGGAGCTGGAGGACTGTGTTGACCGTCGTATTCGTCAGTTAGAAGACCTGGAGGCAGCGTTTGCTGATCTGCTGGAAGACGATGGAGAAGAGATGGTTGCTCGATGGGCAGCGAAGCCGGGGTAACGTCCCTGGATGACATTTGATCAATTCTGTTTTCATTCTTATGCTGTTTCCGTTGGACCTTCCTTTAAATTTCATCAGTTTTTGTAGCTCAGGTTTCTGTTGATACCAAAGAGCTTCCATCAGTGTTGTTTTCTAAAATAATTTAGTTGACACTCCTTTTTTCATGACTATAACGAAACCAGAAAAGCTAAATGTGGATCTTTGATGATAAAAACTAGACGCCTCATAGATCAGATGAGACTAAATAAAAAAAAGTTAGCAGGTGGTAATTCTATCCAAGCTAAGCAGTTTTAGCCGTGCAGCTGCTTGTTTGGTGACTCCACCCACGTGGCGTGCAGCGATGTCCGTTCTGTATGACCACAGATGGATCATGGCAGCAGCTGCAGAATAACCCAGAATGATCAGTGAGCTGAACTGTTGACTAACTCTGCTCCTCCAGCTGTGCTGGTGCAGAAATCCTTTAGTCTAACAATCAAGATTTTATTCCTTCCAGCTCACAACAGGTGATGCGAAACATTCTTTCATTTCTACCTAAAGGAATCTCTAAGTTTTATTCAAAGCTAATATTTAATGCATTCTGTTTTTTTCTGGATAAAGATGAAAAGGTTCATAAATCTTTGAATATTTCTCTCTCATTGTTCTTGTTTCTATTTAAATATGATGGAAATGTTTCCTCATATTTTCATTTAAACATTTCCTCTGTTTCCTTTAAATATTTCAACATTTTAGTAGAATATTCATTCAGTTTAGGTCTGGGTTGCCATGGCAATACAACTAAATTATGTAGGTTTTCTGTTTTTATTTTTAATATCAAAGCCTGTGAATTTAAATCTCCTTTGAGCCGCGAGCAGCAGGAACTAGTGGGGGGGTGAAATTAGTGGGGGAGTGAAATTAGTGGGGGAGTGAAATCAGTGGGGGAGTGAAATTAGTGGGTCCCTGAGCAAGACCCTCAACCCACACTGCTCCCCAAGGGGAGGGGCTAAACGCAGAGAGGGGATTTCATTGTTTGACAAAAAAAAAGAATGTTTTTGTTCTTTGCTTCTTTGCAGTAATGCAGATTTTATAGATCTGTGTTTAATGCAGATTTTATAGATCTGTGTTTAATGCAGATTTTATAGATCTGTGTTTAATGCAGATTTTATAAATCTGTGTTTAATGCAGATTTTATAGATCTGTGTTTAATGCAGATTTTATAGATCTGTGTTTAATGAAGATTTTGTAGCAGATCGGGAAGTTTTTGGACGGAAACCTTGGATGTCTAAAATGATTCCTTTATTGGACATTTTCTCAGCTTGTCTGTCTGCTATATGAACCAATAGGATGTATTGAACTAGATCTGCTATATTAACCAATAGGATGTATTGAACTAGATCTGCTATATTAACCGATATGATGTGTTGAACTAGATCTGCTACTTTCACAGCTTTTGTGAGACATTATTTTTATAAAGTAGGGAATTAATTCATAAAGTTTATTCTAATCCTATAAATCAATGTTTTCTCCCCAACAGCAGTGATGAACTGAACGGCAGAATTCTATACCCAGTTATTGTAGCATCTAGGATAGAGCTGCAGAATCTGGTTGGTATTCCAAATTGTAAAGGTTCACTTTTTTTGCAACATAAAACTAGACTGAAACCTTTTTTAAGTTTTAGTCGACTAAAACCGACTAAAACTATCGTAATGACTAAAGCAACAATAGTTTTGTCCTGAAGACTAAGAGTAAGACTAGACTAAGAGTAAGACTAAATCTAAGATGGCTGCCAAAAGCAACGCTGGCTGAAATCCACTTTAACCTCTTTCTTCTCAGCTGCTTCCAATCTTGAGCTTATAGCAGATATTTACTGGATAAAACAACACAAAACTGATTTCTCTCCACAAACACTGGAAGCCTGCTGACGGCTAACAATTCAGATTCTTCATCCAACCAGGGATCCACACTGATTCACCATCGATCACATATTTGGATGTTGATATCTGCAGATGGCATTAGTTTTCCCAGAGTTCTGTTAGGTTTCATGTTCTCATAAACTCCTCCCTGATGTATGAGCTTAGGCGTGTTTATGCCTAAAGGTAGCAGTGGATCGTCATCCAAACAGAAAACCAACAAATATCAGCTTTAAGGTTCGAACTCTCTTCATTAAATCAGAAACAGATGCTCATAGATCAGAAACACACCTGCTGATCAAGAGTTTAACCCACATTTATTATAGAAATGGGCTGAATAGATCTGCCCCTATTAACCAGGCCCATTTTCACTGACACACTTGATCTAGAATTTTGAAAACATGAACCAGGAGGTTTGGACTGGGCCTCTAATCGATCCTTCAGAAGGAAGGTCAATAAATAAACGTCTGGACCGGAACACTAACCTGCATTTATAGATCCGCAGCTCAGAGGGCCGGCATGATGCAACGTCTCCTCTGATCATCAGAGGTGTTTCTTTTCATTCATGCATGTCTGAGTAACAATCAGCTTCGTTGCTTTTCCTCGTCTTTCAGGATGTCCTCCTTAACTCAGCTGGTCTCCTGTTTGAAGGCAAGAAATTCTTCACCTGACTATGAGATGGTGAGTCTCCTGTTAGCCTGAAGCTGCTGTTTCTCACCTTCCCACCTGGGTTTTGGACATGGAAAGTGTTTTTCACTGGTTTCCTGCTGGATCCCAGTACAGTCTGCCGCGGCGTCCAGTTCACTTCGGTTTTCTGACAGGATGAACTTCTTCATTCCTCGTGAGATGTAATCAGCCAAGCGGCAGATAGAAATGCTTGAAATGATCCCCTTGTTTAAAATAAATCTATAAAATCTGAGATGTTTAAGTTGAATTGAACTAAAGATCTGAAAATGTCGAGCTGCTATAAAAGGCTCTTTGTAAACAGTCTAAAGTTTAGAAACTAAACTTTCCTGCCGTGACTCAGGTTCACCAGGCAGGACTCACCTGTGACTCGATGGAGCTGCCGCATCATATCAGCACAGAGGAGGAGATCGATGGACTGATCTCTGCCGTGCAGCTGGTCCTCAGGCGTCTGCCGTCACCCACACTGGTCACCATGTCCAGGTGAGGATCCCTGATCTGAGCGTAGCGAGTAGGAAGGCCTGAGTGTAAACATCTGTCTGTACTGACAGGTCCAGTCTGGATGAATACTGCCCAGCTGAGCAGGTGGACTCGGTCCAGGAACGGGTTCTGGCTGTTCTGGAGGGTCTGTATGGTGACCTGGATGTGCAGAAAGACTATGAAAGCAGCGAAGACGCTGAGGACTGCCAGCCAAGGACATCTGAAAGCAGCAAAGACGCTGAGGACTGCCAGCCAAGGACATCTGAAAGCAGCTCACAGAACGACGCATCTTTTAGAGATGGCAGTGGTTTAGCAGCTCCAACATAACTGGGTCAGAACCTGGTACCATGAACTATTGGTGTTCACTTCAGCCTTTCTTTGGTCAAACTAGCCAACTGATAAAGGAAGTTTGTTTTAACAGATTCAGTGTCATTTTCTCTGATTTACCGACAGTCTGCTGTAAATAAATGTAGTTTTAAGAATCCATCCAGTATAACCCTAAAGCAGAAACCACCAGTCTGGGAGGTCCAATACAACAGCAACACAAAGTTATCTGATATTTAAGATCTCTGACAATTTCAACAATTTTGTCTTAATATTCAAGATAGATGGGATGATGGACATGAAATGGAAATGTGGCTTTTAACAGGTGGAGCAGCAAGTTGATCCAAATATGGCCTTAGATAACTATCAATACAAACACATGGGTAGCTGTTAAATTGTTTAGTGTAAGTAGATAAACCACAATTTAAGATTTGTATTTTTCCTCCCTCGTTTGGTTAGCAACGCACCACATCACATGGTTAACTCACAAGGCTTCTCCAACCAATGAGACCATGGTCTCATGTGATGTCATGGATGTTAAAATCTCCCACTATGATGACCCTGTCAGTATTTAATACCAAATCAGAAAGGAACTCTGAAAACTCATCTAAACATTCAGAGTAAGGACCTGGTGGACGATACAAAGTTACAAAAAGAAGAGGTTTTCTGGCTTTGCAACTTGGATCAGGGAAATTAAGGGTTAAATGTTCAAAGAGTTGTAGGTATTAACTGTTTTGGGAGTAATCAGTAAGTCAGACTGGAAGATTGTTGCTACTCCTCCTCCTCGCCCAGAACTTCTGGGGATGTGAAAATTTAAATAGCTTGAAGGAGTTGCCTCATTTATGCTCACATAATCCTCTTGCTGCAGCCAGGTTTCTGTAAGGCAACACAAGTCAATGTGATTATCACAAATCAAGTCATGAACTAGTAGACTTTTAGAGGAAAGAGATCTGATGTTAAACAGACCGCATTTAATCGTTTTAACTTTTTCCCCAATTGGAGTTATTTTAATTTTGATTATCAGGATTTACTCCTTTGGGAATCTTTGCTAATTTATTAGATTTTGGTCTGGATGGAGTAAAGTGTAAACAGTAGAGAAGCTGCAGAGAGGTCTGTTAAACTAGGACTCTGCTTCCTGGTCTGCACCCTGGGGGGTCAGGGTTTTGGAGGACTAATAAATGTGGCCAGATTCCTAGAAAGAAGAGCTGCACCATCCAAAGTGGGATGGATGCCGTCTCTCCGAATCAGACCAGGCTTTCCCCAAAAGGATTGCCAATTATTAATGTAGCCCACGTTGTTTTCAGGACGCCACCTAGACAACCAGCGGTTGAATGATGACATGAGGCTAAACATGTCATCACTGGTCAGATCAGGGAGGGGACCAGAGAAAATTATGGACCCAGTTTAGTGCATCAGTCAGTTAGAAACAGCTCCTTTATTGGTCATGTGACTTTCTTAAAACAATGCATGTTTTCCTGTTACAGCTCCATGAGCCAACGTTTCACTGCTGACGGCATGTATCAGGGTGGAAATGGTTAAACTGGGATTAGCCTGTTCTTCAAAGGCTGGTGGTTCCACCAATCAATCACCTCTGGGTCAGCATCGTTGGTTTGTCATTTCTACATTTATTTGTGAAATATATAAATATGTCTCAAGATTTCTGTCATTTACATTTTTTAATCTTCCCTTAAACCCCCAATGGGTAAAAAACGAAACAAAAAAAAGGTTTATAACAGAATATGAAAACAGCAGTTTACAATATTCAAAGGCAGTTTTCAAAGGAATGTGTGTAGTTTGGTTTCCAACAGCACTTTGAACCACATAATATAATTTATAATAAGACAGCAGCTAAAGGAATAAATTAGGTTTGTGCATCAGAGCAAGGAGGAAAACAGAAAAGCAGATCCTGTGCCGGTATTTTTATAAACGCTCAGTGATGAGAAGAATGGCTGCAGGAGCAGCAATGACACCACAGACGGTTAGTTCAGTGAGCTGGAACACGACAAACATCAGTTTATGGTACCTTCATCTAAACTTGCTTCTTTATGCTCCAGACCTTCAGTAAAAATAGCAATAAAGTTTTCCTGCACCGAGAGTCAGAGTGGATCTACAGTCCGATCAGAGCAGCAGAGGATGGCTCCACCACAGGAAGGTGTCCTCATGTTTCTGGCTCATGCATGTACTGTTCATAAATACATTTCAAAGACTTATTTACACATTAAATTATACTGATAACTTCATCTTTTAGATTTAATCAAAGGAATCAACAAATGACCGATAGAGCCCCAACAGGACAGCGTGCATGGTGCTTCACACGTCTGAGGTAAGGCCACCGCTGGTTTCTGACGCTTCTGCCATCTTTAGTCCTGATGCTGCTGCTCTTTGGGTTTAGTGTGGAATCTCTCCATCAAGGCCCTCCAGATGCTCCCGGGGATCTGCTGGTGCTCGTCTATCAGAGACTGGACCGCCTGCTGCACCTGCACAGCCAAATGCACGATGAGCATGATGATGACCTTCATCCATAACCAAGTCCACAGCAGGCCCTTACTCTCTGTGCTAGCTCAGCAGCACCGACGTTTGGGTCGTATGGGATGGGATCACCGAGGAAGGTTCTGAACTTCACTGGAAATCCACCATAAACTGGAGCCGCAGGCAGACGAAACCTTTCGTACAGCCAGCGGAACAGCCCTGACGGAACAGCAGAGGGTGATAAAGAGATGCAGACATAGAAAGGTAACATCAGAGCAGGAGCGGCTGGAGTCCCACTATTAACCAGGAGGGAACAGACGCACCGAGCAGAGCGGCTATGGACACACAGGCTACTGGCTAAAGCTATTCTGGGGTTAGCTGACCCGCCATGGAGCATATGGACAGAGGGACGCAGAGCTAGCTTGAAAAGCTCCAACATTTGGATGAGAGGAGAAACGTCTCTAGAAACGCCTCGTCCAGTTGCCTAAACTGGGCTACAGAGCTACAAGGCTGCCGTATGCAAAGACCAGGCCCTCTGACCAGCAGTAGATGCTGGGATGACTGGTCTTGCCAGAAAGAAAAGGAAAAGGCTGGGGCTCAAACCAGCAACCCAACAGCTATAGGAAGCCTTTCATCAACGTAAGGCTGGATCATCGTCATACCTGAGAGCTACGGTGTGTTAGCATAGAACAGAACATTCAGACCAAACCTTCCTCACTTACTGAGTGTCCCCAGAGACCTGAAGCCCTCCCGCAGATTCTGGGTGAACATTGGGATTATTGGCTGGAAGAAAAAGACCAGAGCAGTTACATCATCATCAACCCTTCATTCATGCATCGACGATTAAAGTGACCAAAATTACTGAATCAACAGATTGTGTCTCACTTTTATCAATAATTATACACAAATGTGAAAAATAGAAATGCAGAAGGAGAAGAAGCTTAGAATGGTTTTTATAGTCTTAGCAGGGTGGAGCTGGAGGACAGTCAGTAGAGCGTCGGTCGGTCGGCAGAGCGTCGGTCGGTCGGCAGAGCGTCGGTCGGTCGGCAGAGCGTCGGTCGGTCGGCAGAGCGTCGGTCGGTCGGCAGAGCGTCGGCGGTCGGCAGAGCGTCGGGGGTCGGCAGAGCGTCGGTCGGTCGGCAGAGCGTCGGTGGGTCGGCAGAGCGTCGGTGGGTCGGCAGAGCGTCGGTGGGTCGGCAGAGCGTCGGTGGGTCGGCAGAGCGTCGGTGGGTCGGCAGAGCGTCGGTGGGTCAGCAGAGCGTCGGTGGGTCAGCAGAGCGTCGGTGGGTCAGTAGAGCGTCGGCGGTCGGCAGAGCGTCGGCGGTCGGCAGAGCGTCGGCGGTCGGCAGAGCGTTGGTGGTCAGTAGAGTGTCGGTCGGTCAGTGTTTTGATTTTAGCAGGACTATAAATAGGAGCGTTCTGATGTTTACTGTCGATGTTGTTGAGGTAATAATCTGCATCATCTTCCGTCACCATAGCGACCAGTTATTCAGGTAACCGTCACTCACCACTTTAGAGTCGATGGCTACCTGGGCGAAGCCGTTCCGTTTGCCCCAGATCAGGGGATAGGTCTCGTCGCTAAACAGAGCCTCTCGCACCCCTCCGGGAGAAATGCCCAGCAGGTGGCCGTTCCTCAGGGCGCGGACGCACTCTTCCTGAGGACCGTGGATCACTGAGAAAACCTCCAAAAGCAACTTGAAACCTGGGAGAAGAAAGCAAAATGGAAACAAAATGCCGTCAGGAAGGAGGAATTATCAGAACGCTGCTTCCTCCCATCACCAGCATCTGATTTAGTCTGTCTGCCAAAGTAATCTGCCTGTCATGTACATCTGATCTAGAACGCCCTGATCTATGAGGAAAGCATCATCACTGCAGCGTCTGATCCAGTCTGGATCCTGATCAGAGCATCAGATCATTTATGGTGTATTTTATCTGTCCTTCATACTTTAGCTGCTGGACGCCCACAGCTGTGGGACGCCCACAGCTGTGGGACGCCTAAAGCTGCTGGACGCCCACAGCTGTGGGACGCCTAAAGCTGCTGGACGCCCACAGCTGCGGGACGCCTAAAGCTGCTGGGACGCCCACAGCTGTGGGACGCCCACAGCTGCTGGACGCCCACAGCTGCTGGACGCCCACAGCTGCTGGACGCCCACAGCTGCTGGACGCCCACAGCTGCTGGACGCCCACAGCTGCGGGACGCCCACAGCTGCTGGACGCCCACAGCTGCGGGACGCCCACAGCTGCGGGACGCCCACAGCTGCTGGACGCCCACAGCTGCTGGACGCCCACAGCTGCTGGACGCCCACAGCTGCGGGACGCCCACAGCTGCGGGACGCCCACAGCTGCGGGACGCCTAATTGCAGGACCTGGTATCTTGAAGAGGAAGTGGTCGGCTACAGAATGGCAGGTGCGTCCTTTCTGTAGGATGACGTTGGCCAGGAAGTAGTAGTAGTCGATGGGAATGGCTCCGTGGTAATACACGATCAGAGCGGCTCCTTTGCTGGGGATCTTCTCCATTCCATGGATCTCATAACCTGCAGCAAAGGTCACAGGATGCATTAATGGAGACGCATCCATGACGAGCACAACTTTATCTAACCCTGACCTTCAACCCTAACCCTGCATCACTAACCTGAACGGACTCCCCCCCCCTTTATAAAAGAAGGAAAATCTTTCAGAATTAAATCAGGTGAAATTAAAACTTTGTTCTTGATTATAGAGCAGATCGACATGAAACACATTTTTGATCTTAAATGCTAAATGTTTTTTTTTACCATCTGGATATAATTGCTGCTCTGAGTCGCTCCGTCAGCTATAGGAGGATTTACTCCTATATACTCCAGTTAACGATTAATTGCTTACTGGAATAATAAATGATTCCCACCGAACAAAAAAAGGCTGAAAAGACAATATTCACAAAAGAGGAAAAGTCGTCATTTTTTAGATCGTCTCATATTGGACTAAAGTGGGATAAATCCCAGATTTAGCCAAAAAACCAACGTCTGAATTAGGCCTGCTGTTTGGGGGGTTATTTCAATAATTGATCAATCATCATTAATCCCATTTATTGTATCAGAAATAGTTACATCAATCAAATGATCTGAATTTAAACTGACTCTTAGTTTGCTGCTTTTACTCTAGTTAATAAATAAATCCTACTCCACAAACATCCTTATTCACATGTTCACATTTATGGATTTAATCTAAAAATATCATCATAACATATTTTCCAATGAAAATTATAGTAAACAATGGCTTAGATCATATTCTGGGTCGTCCAATCGGAGAGGCTGCCTGTAGTGACTTTAAATGTCCAGCAGGTGTCAGTGTGGAACAAATCCATCAGTAAAGAAACAGTGAACCTGTTTTAATGTCCTCAGCTGGTTCCACTGCTGGAGGCTCCAGTCGTCCCTCATTATCTCACCTTCATCCTCTCTAAGCTGACTCTATGGGGGCCCAGAGGGACCCAGTGTGGCTCTATGGGGACCCAGAGGGACCCAGTGTGGCTCTATGGGGGCCCAGAGGGACCCAGTGTGGCTCTATGGGGGCCCAGAGGGACCCAGTGTGGCTCTATGGGGGCCCAGAGGGACCCGGTGTGGCTCTATGGGGGCCCAGAGGGACCCAGTGTGGCTCTATGGGGACCCAGAGGGACCCGGTGTGGCTCTATGGGGGCCCAGAGGGACCCGGTGTGGCTCTATGGGGACCCAGAGGGACCCGGTGTGGCTCTATGGGGGCCCAGAGGGACCCAGTGTGGCTCTATGGGGACCCAGAGGGACCCGGTGTGGCTCTATGGGGACCCAGAGGGACCCGGTGTGGCTCTATGGGGGCCCAGAGGGACCCAGTGTGGCTCTATGGGGACCCAGAGGGACCCGGTGTGGCTCTATGGGGACCCAGAGGGACGCGGTGTGGCTCTATGGGGTCCCAGAGGGGCCCGGTGTGGCTCCGTCCCACCTTCATCCTCTCTAAGCTGACTCTATGGGGACCCAGAGGGGCCCGGTGTGGCTCTATGGGGACCCAGAGGGACCTAGTGTGGCTCTATCGGGACCCAGAGGGACCCGGTGTGGCTCTATGGGGGCCCAGAGGGACCCGGTGTGGCTCTATGGGGGCCCAGAGGGACCCGGTGTGGCTCTATGGGGGCCCAGAGGGACCCGGTGTGGCTCTATGGGGACCCAGAGGGACCCGGTGTGGCTCTATGGGGGCCCAGAGGGACCCGGTGTGGCTCTATGGGGACCCAGAGGGGCCCGGTGTGGCTCTATGGGGTCCCAGAGGGGCCCGGTGTGGCTCTATGGGGACCCAGAGGGACCCGGTGTGGCTCTATGGGGGCCCAGAGGGACCCGGTGTGGCTCTATGGGGGCCCAGAGGGACCCCGGTGTGGCTCTATGGGGGCCCAGAGGGACCCGGTGTGGCTCTATGGGGACCCAGAGGGACCCGGTGTGGCTCTATGGGGGCCCAGAGGGACCCGGTGTGGCTCTATGGGGGCCCAGAGGGACCCGGTGTGGCTCTATGGGGACCCAGAGGGGCCCGGTGTGGCTCTATGGGGTCCCAGAGGGGCCCGGTGTGGCTCCGTCCCACCTTCATCCTCTCTAAGCTGACTCTATGGGGGCCCAGAGGGACCCAGTGTGGCTCTATGGGGACCCAGAGGGACCCGGTGTGGCTCTATGGGGGCCCAGAGGGACCCGGTGTGGCTCTATGGGGACCCAGAGGGACCCGGTGTGGCTCTATGGGGGCCCAGAGGGACCCGGTGTGGCTCTATGGGGACCCAGAGGGGCCCGGTATAGCTCTGTGGGGACCCAGAGGTGGGGACCCAGAGGGACCCGGTGTGGCTCTATGGGGACCCAGAGGGGCCCGGTATGGCTCTATGGGGACCCAGAGGTGGGGACCCAGAGGTGGGGGCCCAGAGGGACCCGGTGTGACTCTATGGGGGCCCAGAGGGACCCGGTGTGGCTCTATGGGGACCCAGAGGGACCCGGTGTGGCTCTATGGGGACCCAGAGGGGCCCGGTGTGGCTCTATGGGGACCCAGAGGTGGGGGCCCAGAGGGACCCGGTGTGGCTCTATGGGGACCCAGAGGGGCCCGGTGTGGCTCTATGGGGACCCAGAGGTGGGGACCCAGAGGGACCCGGTGTGGCTCTATGGGGGCCCAGAGGGGCCCGGAGTGGCTCCGTCTCACCGTGCCATATGGCCCCGTGTCCATCCCACAGGGTGGCGAGGGTTTTCCTGGCTCCATCCCACAGGTTGTTGCTGTAGGCCTCCTTCAGCTGATTCTTCCTCTGATGAAAGCAGAGAAATACATCAGACATAAAGCAGTGCCCCCCCACCCCCACCTCCTGTGAAGGATATGACCTTTGGCCTTTAGTGAGGCTGATCTCTGATGGCCTGCAGAGCCTTTATTCAGACCATCTGGTGGACATCTGTGGATCTGTCCTCACCTTGTAGACGTGCAGGAAGAGGATGGAAAGGTAGAGCAGGATGACGATCAGGAAGGGAAGCAGGAAAACCACGGCCAGAGGCGTGAAGACCCACAGCAGGTATTCCAGGAAGCTCAGGTAGTCCTCCAGCTGCTCCAGGCCCACCCAGTCCTCCCACACATGGAATAAACACGCCTGTGGGAAGAAAGAGAAACTCTGGACCACCGATGTCTGCAGAGGGACGTCCCCCGCCAAGCAGAGCGAGTTACAAACTTTGTTTCCATAGCAACCCTTATTATAATGGTTCATGCTGAGATCCGTTACCATCCAACTGTGGCTAGAAGGCCACGCCCCCTTCCTTCACCCTCATGCTGATGCTGATGCTCATTTAAAGGGAAACACCTTTTTTTTTTCCATTGGTCCTTGATTTTCCGTTATTCCATCATGTTCTACTCACCCATCTGAGTTTAGTGTCATTGGGAGCCGTTCTGAAGATATTCCGTTAGGTTATATCCAGTATCGTCTTCCTATGGGCAACGACTTGAAGGCACAAACTAAACTGTTCATCATTTATTCTTTATGGTACGCCAGCATTCAGAACATGGAGGCCAATCACTGTCCCCCAGACATCCGCGGAGTGAGTATGATGTCATCCGTGCGGCGGACTGGAGCTGTGACAGGCAGCCGGGTCACAGGCGGCTCCGCTCTACCCCTTCTATTCATTCTAGCTAATCTGAATCATTCAGTTCCATTATGTCATAAACTGTTCGATATCTGAAGCAGATTATATGATCGTCTCTGATCACAGGCCTCAGTTATTCTGATAACTCTTGTTCTTGTTGACTGTTGCACACAGCAGCAGCCATTAAGGTGTGTTTGGAGTCAGAACTCTCCCTTTTTATCTCTCTGAGGCTCAAACATTCAGATATCAGCAAACAGCCATGAGGCCTCAGTAGGAAATATGCTGCAGTGCAGATCCAAGCAGGATCTCCTGGAAAAAGGTCTGTAATGAAGAACATCTCCATCAACTAGCCTTCATCTGAAGAACATCTCAGACTCTAATAGTCATCAGATATTAATAAATATCTTTCCTCAGGACAATAGTGGCGTCATTCAGAGCTACGCCGTTAGCGATATACAGCCTGGGCTTCTGACTTTTCTGCAATAGCTGTTGTTCAGCCTTTAGAGGGCAGCACTGAGCCCGCCTAAAGACCACATCCACATAACTGAAAAAACTGACATGAAAATGTAGAAAGAAGCACTGAAACAGCCGCAATAGACCCAATTAAAGGTCAGCAGAGACAGTTTAGGGGTGAGTTACCCTTTAAGAAGCCCCAAACCTTTGGAGCTAATCGTCGAATAAAGAGATCACAGAAGAAGAACGGGTCGGGTCCGTTCAAAGCAGGGCGGGACCAGAACGGGCCGGGTCAGCCAGAACTTCCTAACAGAACACATTAAGGGAGAAACCCGGTTCTGATTCTGCAGAACACCGAGATGAACAGAGTATGACTCGGACCCGAAGCATCAGGAGCGGCCTAGTCAAAGTCTGAAGGAAACACCCTGGATAGCGTCCAACGTTCTAGGACAGAACCGGATGGCTCCACGGTTCTGGTTCCTTTATACACGGAACCAAGATCAAAGCTGACCTGGAACCTTTGAGCTAAACGCTGAAAAAAACCTGAAAGAATCCTCCTGGTGTTTGCTGGTTCAGATCCCTGACTGACAGGTCAGCAGGAGACAGATGGACAGACAGCGAGACAGACAGAGGGACAGACAGCGAGAAAGACAGTGGGACAGACAGCAGGACAGACAGCGAGACAGAGAGATGGACAGACAGCGAGACAGACAGCGAGACAGAGAGATGGACAGAGGGACAGACAGCGGGTCGGACAGTGGGACAGAGGGACAGACAGCGGGTCGGACAGTGGGACAGACAAATGGACAGAGGGACAGACAGCGAGACAGACAGTGGGACAGACAGCGGGACAGACAGCGAGACGGACAGACAGCGAGACAGACAGTGGGACAGAGGGACAGACAGCGGGACGGACAGTGGGACAGACAAATGGACAGAGGGACAGACAGTGGGTCGGACAGTGGGACAGAGAAATGGACAGAGGGACAGACAGCGGGACGGACAGTGGGACAGACAAATGGACAGAGGGACAGACAGCGAGACAGAGAGATGGACAGACAGCGAGACAGACAGTGGGACAGCGGGACAGACAGCGAGACAGAGAGATGGACAGACAGCGAGACAGACAGTGGGACAGAGGGACAGACAGTGGGACAGACAAATGGACAGAGGGACAGACAGCGGGTCGGACAGTGGGACAGAGGGACAGACAGTGGGACAGACAGGGACAGCGTCCTCAGGGAGGGAGGACACGGAGCAGCATGACTGGAGAAAGTTTAGTGGAAGGAAGAAGTGTGAGAGGGAGGGGCTGAGAGGATGGAGTCAGATCATCCTGATTGGCTGCAGATGTTCCACTCATCGGGTGGAACCAGACGGACCCAGACTGGACTGAGGAGAACAGAACCGGACTGGTCCCAGAGTGGGTGGGTCCTCTGCTGGTTCTGGTTCTACCAGCTAATATCAGACCACTTCATGCTTCCCTCTGCTGACCCGCTGCTTTGGTACCGACCCAGACTAGCAGAGGAACCGGTGCCGGTCCAGTGACCACGCTGGTTCTGTGTTTGACCCGTCTGCAAACTGGACTGAGCAGAACCCCATAGAGATTCTAGCCAGAACCACCTGAGCTGAACCACAGGCTGATCTCCTCCTGGATTCCATCCAGACCCGGAACCAACAGAACCAAACCCGTTCCCAGAACCCTGAGCCTCTGCTGGAGGGCTGGGCTTCTGGGTTTCATCCTCAGAACCTTCAGAGATGCAGAAACAATGTGATCCATCGACGGTTGGAAGAGGAACCAGAGAGCTGGATCCTCCACCGTCTGCGGATCAGAACCGTCTTCAATCAGCGGATCAGAACCGTTTAAAAGAAACCGTTCTCTGTACCAGGAAGGACGCCGTGTTCTCTGCTCCCATTAGACAGGACTGGTTCCCAGTGCCGGACATCCTGCTGAGCCTGATCCGGACCTCACCGTGGAGACATGTGTGACCTGGAGCAAAGTAGAACCGGGTCAGAACCGGATCAGATCAGACATTCAGCTCACCCTGAAAGAAGCTTCAGTCAGAGATTCACCACAGAAATAAATACCTAAAATAAACAGATAGGGTGAAAAATAATGTTTCATAGATAGATAGATAGATAGATAGATAGATGATAGATAGATGATAGATAGATAGATAGATAGATAGATAGATAGATAGATAGATAGATAGATAGATAGATAGATAGATAGATAGATAGATAGATAGATAGATAGATAGATAGATTCAAGTTAACCTTGATTTAATATTAACTAAGAGTACTAGTTAGCAGCAGAGTACTAGTTAGCAGCAGAGCGCTAGTTAGCTTGGAGAGTACTAGTTAGCAACAGAGTACTAGTTAGAGCCAGCTGGGAGGAGCGGATCGGCTCCATCTGCATCAAACAGAAACCTTCATCATCGTCATCCTCACCTGCGTCACTCAGATGTTAGGGATCAAAGGAGCCGCTCAGCCATCATTGATAAAAGGCAGAAAATCCCAGTCCTCCTTTGCTTCTTCTTCTTCTTCCGCTTCCTCCTCCTCCTGCTTCTTCTTCTCTTTATTGGGGAATTGCCAGCAAGTCACAGCTGCATAGCGCCATCTACTGGTAGTGCTTAGGAGCAACATCAGCTGTCAGTTTGTTGCTGATGTAACATTTAGAAAAAAGTAGAAATTATTTTACTGCTTTACAGCTAAACCAGCTAAACTCTGGAGGGTTTTTTTCTTATGGGAAGAATAAGGCTCCAGAGTGGGTGCCTCTGTTCCAATATGATGATGACGATGATGATGAGGAGGAGGAGGAGGAGCGTTAGTTATTAGGACTAAACAACTAGGTGGCGGCAGTGCATCTAAACACCGACTATCGCGCTCCAGAACCCATGAAGAAGAAGCAGCAGTAATGGAGGCATCCTTCAGCCGGTCCAAGAGCCAGAACCAGGACCGACTGGACCTGAGCCGTAAAGGCAGCGTGGATGAGGACATCCGGTCGGTGGTTTCTCTGCTCAACGGCTGCGAGCAGTTCTTCACCACCAGCTCCTGTTCCGGAAGGATCATCGTCATTGATGGGGTCAGGCACGCGCTCATTTACCTCACGCTCCTTTCAAACATCCACGAACTAAAGAACCAGTTCGACCCAACTGGGCTGAACTGGGCCCAGTCCGACACATGAGAAACGACGACACCTGCTGGACGCTATAAGTACAACTCTGTTGTCTGATCAAAGCACCGCTAATATAGAGAAGTTAGTTTGTTAATCACATCCTGCTAATATAGAGAAGTTAGTTTGTTAATCACATCCTGCTAATATAGAGAAGTTAGTTTGTTAATCACCTCCTGCTAATATAGAGAAGTTAGTTTGTTAATCAGGTCCTGCTAAGATAGAGAAGTTAGTTTGTTAATCACATCCTGCTAATATAGAGAAGTTAGTTTGTTAATCACATCCTGCTAATATAGAGAAGTTAGTTTGTTAATCACATCCTGCTAATATAGAGAAGTTAGTTTGTTAATCACATCCTGCTAATATAGAGAAGTTAGTTTGTTAATCACATCCTGCTAATATAGAGAAGTTAGTTTGTTAATCACATCCCGCTAATATAGAGAAGTTAGTTTGTTAATCAGGTCCTGCTAAGATAGAGAAGTTAGTTTGTTAATCAGGTCCCGCTAAGATAGAGAAGTTAGTTTGTTAATCAGGTCCTGCTAAGATAGAAAAGTTAGTTTGTTAATCACCTCCTGCTAATATAGAGAAGTTAGTTTGTTAATCACCTCCTGCTAATATAGAGAAGTTAGTTTGTTATTCACCTCCTGCTAATATAGAGAAGTTAGTTTGTTAATCAGGTCCTGCTAAGATAGAAAAGTTAGTTTGTTAATCACATCCTGCTAATATAGAGAAGTTAGTTTGTTAATCACCTCCTGCTAATATAGAGAAGTTAGTTTGTTAATCAGGTCCTGCTAAGATAGAAAAGTTAGTTTGTTAATCACCTCCTGCTAATATAGAGAAGTTAGTTTGTTAATCAGGTCCTGCTAATATAGAGAAGTTAGTTTGTTAATCACCTCCTGCTAATATAGAGAAGTTAGTTTGTTAATCAGGTCCTGCTAAGATAGAAAAGTTAGTTTGTTAATCACATCCTGCTAATGTAGAGAAGTTAGTTTGTTAATCAGGTCCTGCTAAGATAGAGAAGTTAGTTTGTTAATCACCTCCTGCTAATATAGAGAAGTTAGTTTGTTAATCACCTCCTGCTAATATAGAGAAGTTAGTTTGTTAATCAGGTCCTGCTAATATAGAGAAGTTAGTTTGTTAATCACCTCCTGCTAATATAGAGAAGTTAGTTTGTTAATCAGGTCCTGCTAAGATAGAGAAGTTAGTTTGTTAATCAGGTCCTGCTAAGATAGAGAAGTTAGTTTGTTAATCAGTCCTGCTAAGACAGAGAAGTTAGTTTGTTAATCAGGTCCTGCTAAGATAGAGAAGTTAGTTTGTTAATCAGGTCCTGCTAAGATAGAGAAGTTAGTTTGTTAATGACCTCCTGCTAATATAGAGAAGTTAGTTTGTTAATCACATTCTTCTAATGTAGAGAAATTAGCAGGAAGTGATTAACTAATATAGAGAAGTAGGGGTGTAAATCACATCCTGCTTATATAGAGAAGTTAGTTTGTTAATCACATCCTGCTAATGTAGAGAAGTTAGTTTGTTAATCACATCCTGCTAATATAGAGAAGTTAGTTTGTTAATCACATCCTGCTAATATAGAGAAGTTAGTTTGTTAATCACATCCTGCTAATGTAGAGAAGTTAGTTTGTTAATCAGGTCCTGCTAATATAGAGAAGTTAGTTTGTTAATTACATCCATCATGGCGATTCGATTCAGTATCAATTTTCTGACCCAACGATTGGATTATTTTCGATACTCAAGAACACACCGCGATACGATTCGATCTGATTAACTGGTTCATTTTATTTTTACCTTACAGGCTTGACAATGTTTCAAATTTGAAATAAATCAATGAAAGCTGTAACATCGTTATGCATTTTATTTGAGAAACAACAGCAAATAACAGAAGTAGAAAAGTTGTACTCCACCTAGTCTATTAAAACCTGAGGATAACCAGCGAGGAAGGAGGGCAAAATAAGTTTAGCGCCACCGCAGCACGGGAGTCAGAATGACGCCCGGGAGCAAACGGCTAAAAATCGACCGTAGAAAAACAAAAAACATGAATCGATTCTCTTGCAGACGTGTCGATGCATCGGATCGTTGGCTGTTGGATCGATACGAAACAATGACTATTTACACCCCTATAGAGAAGTTGGTTTAATAGTGAATCTGTGACATAATAAACGTCCCTTCTGATGTGAAACAGTCATTGGAGCCTTTCTGAGAGGAATGTTGGGAATTTATGCCTCAAATTAACTCAATATTAATGAGAATGTGGGAAGACTGTTTTTAATGTTAGGCTCCACAGCAGCAGAGAGGAGGAGCTCTACTGATCTCCAGCTGTTCCTCTGCAGGCGGCGTGCAGCGGCGACGTCCACAAGCAGGACTGTGTCTGGCTCTTGGTGTCCCACCAGAAGTGCTCCTCTGAGGACGTGGTGAGCAGCAGTCTCGGCCTCCTGGGAAGGAGCTGGGATGCAGACTGACATTGAGCTGCGTTTGTTTCCAGATGTGCGCTCTGAGCAGGTCCAGCCGAGACGCCGTGTTGAAGTTTGAGCCCTTTGTTCTCCACGTCCGCTGCCGGAGGCTGGAGGACGCTCAGCTGGTGGTGAGGAGTGCTTCAACATGGAGCCATCCGAGTCACACGGCGTCTTTTGACGTGTCCTTCCTCTTCCAGCACTCGGCTGCCGTCAACTCAGGCTTCAGGAACTCTGGGATCACCGTCGGCAGGACAGGAAAGATCATCTCGGTAAGCAGAGACATCAGAGGGACGCCATCTTCACTCCAAGCAGGGAACAATAAAGCTTCAGATTAGACCCAGTTTAAACTAAAACCAGGATTATTTCTCCAGACTTCCTCCAGATCTAAGCCAGCAGGAAGGACTAAATGGATCTCAGCGTAAACTTAGCAGATTTCCCTCAGCCAATCAGAGCCCTGCTGGGTTAGCAAGTAAATCAGTGAAATAATTAAATACGACCTTAACCTTCTAGTTTAAATAATCAAATAGCAAAAAAATCAAAGAGGAGACGTTAACTAATCGTCTGTTTATTTCTGGCTGTTTTCATGATTACGGCAGGATTGGTTCTGTGTCCTGACCTCTGACCCGTGACCTCTGACCCTTCCATCACTACATAGTGGACTTTATAGTTAACTGATCGTTCAGACAGTTGATTCCTACTTGCTCTTCCATTTTTCAAAGATGGAAAAAATGGAATTTACATTTTTTTAGTTTAAACCAGTGTTCTGTCAGATCGGCATACCTTGCAGGTACCCCGTCAGACCGGCATACACTTAGTCAGTACCCGTTTATTCCTTTAGTTTTGTAGAAGAAAAAACAAATTCATGACTTAGTTTTTGGTGTTTTGAAGCGTATGCCAATCTGACCTTAAATAGTTAGTCTGAACTTGACTAACGGAATCGCGTTACCGTTGGAGAAAGTTTAAAGTCTATTTTTCGTACAAAACCAAAGGGATCAAAGGGGCTCATATAGACGGATGAGCAGGTCTATAGACTATGGTATGCTGACCTGACGGGGTATGTCGGTCTGACAGAACACCCTCATTTTAACCAGATTACTAATTTATGAGGAAAAAGGCGCATAAATATGAAAATAAAACGAATGTAGGAGAAAAAGTTTCAATTTTGCAAGATGTAAAGATGCTCATTTGTAGAGCAAGCAAGTTTATAAAAGACGTTAAAGTGCTAAATGAAGCTCCTGACCTCATTAATGGGGGGGGGGGGGGGGGCTTTAGCGATGGAAGAAGAAAGATGGCCGCCTCATTGAAAGTACCAATGAATGATAATAATGAATTATGTTCTTGGAAATTTGCTACTTTAAACTCAAAAATTTTTATTCAAATTTTTCCTTTTGTCTTTGAATGCCCCTTGATGCGTGTGGTTCTCTAAGTAGGGGTCAGGGCGGATGTTCGCCTTTCTATTGCAAACATTTGAAGGAAACGTTTCTCCTGTAATTCCTGGCTCTCTGCTCTGCTGCGCCCCCTGCAGGCGGTCCGCAGCACCCACGGCCTGGAGGTTCCTCTGAGCCATGAAGGCAGACTCCTAGTGGACGACGACTACATCCGCTTCCTGACGCAGACGGCCAATCAGAAGATGGAGGAGAACCTGAGACGGATACAGAGGTCAGCCCGCTAGCCAAAGAACCCGTAGCATCTAATCTGAGTCCAGGTCCGAGTCTGTTGATGCGTCCTCTCCAGGTTCTACCAGAACCTCCAGTCAGCCCTGTCAGCAGAGAGACTCGCCGTTCCAGACGGTCCCAGTGAACCCCGAAGCGGGAGGACGGCAGGACGGGGAGCGAGCGAACAGAACCCGAGGAGCCGGCAGCGTGAGGCTGAGGGTTTCCATGGTGACCTGGATCTGGATGACTGTCTGGATCTGTTCACGTGAACGGGTGAGGGTTTCCATGGTGACCTGGATCTGGATCTGTTCACGTGAACGGCTGAGGGTTAACGTTCCTCTAAGACCAAACCGTCCCTGACAGACATGCTGAAGGAGGAGTGACATGACTGAACATTGGACCCGGTCCTGCTGGTCCTGGAATCGCAGCCGGTCCTGCTGGTCCTGGTCCTGTTGGTTCTGGACCTGCAGCTGGTCCTGGAATCGCAGCCGGTCCTGCTGGTCCTGGTCCTGTTGGTCCTGGACCTGCAGCCGGTCCTGTTGGTCCTGGACCTGCAGCAGGTCCTGTTGGTCCTGGACCTGCAGCAGGTCCTGTTGGTCCTGGACCTGCAGCCGGTCCTGCTGGTCCTGGACCTGCAGCCGGTCCTGCTGGTCCTGGACCTGCAGCCGGTCCTGCTGGTCCTGGAATCGCAGTCGGTCCTGCTGGTCCTGGAATCGCAGTCGGTCCTGCTGGTCCTGGTCCTGCTGGTCCTGGAATTGCAGCCGGTCCTGCTGGTCCTGGTCCTGCTGGTCCTGGACCTGCAGCCGGTCCTGCTGGTCCTGTTGGGTCCAGAAGAGCAGCAGAGAGAACCGGCTCCTCCTTTAAACCCACCTGCTGATGGAGGCTTCAGTTTAATGGACGTTTTACTTCACTGTTTCTTATTCATAGATCTAGATCATATAGACCTCTCCTTTTTTGGGGTTTTGTTGTAAATTTAAAATCTGTTTAAAAGTGATAGAGAATAAAAATAAATATGTGGATGTTTTGAAACTATTTCAGAAGTATTGTGATTATTTTAGAGGAATTAAATGCCAGAAGGATGGAGTCCAGCTCCCTGATGACGGCCAGTGGCTTTGCTGCCACTGCAGACTAAGCTCTGCACCGGTGGCCGAGGCTGCAGAGCCGGGATGCTAATGACTCTGATGAGCCGCAATGATTCCCACGAGGAACGCAGCATCATCATCTCACTGAATGACCTCACATGAGCAGCAACCAATCAGCGCTGAGCTTCCTCCTCCCTCTGGAAGATATTTCAGAGAGAAGCTGAGTCTGGATGCTTCCACCTTCAGGTCTGCAGTAGCCAGCAGATGTTCCTCTGGAGGAACCAGGCTTTACTAGCAGGTGCTGATCCTGGCGGCTGCCTTCATGCTGTTAACTACTCTAAGTTGACCTTCAGACCCGCACTGCAGTGACCTAGCGCTGAGCAGAACCCGACCTGGACCTGGACAAGACAGCCGGGTCCAGACTGTGGTGGGAGGACTGCCAGGTGTCCTGGAACCCTCCTGGTCTGCGATCTGTTGGTGTTCTGGTTTATGGAGTCCAGATGTTCCTTCCTTTGTTGGCTCTAAGTTTTCCCTCAATGTTTCCATGGTGATTATTTCTCCCTCTGATCCTGCGGCGCTGCTCGCTCTTTTCTCCTTTGCTGTTTTCTTCATCAGAGCTGAAGATATTAGATATTATTTAATGAATATCTTATCATTTATTCTGCCCTTTGAGGTGATGGTGATGTCACATGGTTTCCTCAGCGTTCGCCATTAAAATTAAGTTTATCTAAATTTTAATTTATTTGTATAGTGCCAATTCACAACACACCAGGAAAACCAGCTGATTGCATCGACTCATTGACTCTTCAGCAATCCCTCACACTAAGCATGCTTGTAGCGACAGTGGAGAGGAAAAACTCCCTTTGAACAGGAAGAAACCTCCAGCAGAACCAGGTTCAGTGTGAGCGGCCATCTGCTGAGGCCCACTGGGGTTCAAGGAGACAGAAGCAGACATAGAAAAAGAAGCATAGATACAAAAGGCAACCAGCTCCACAGGCGGCCCCGTCCAGGAAACACACAGCCAGGCAGACGAGCTCCGAGCCAGCTCCCATGTCAGAGGATGAAGAGAGCACATCCAGTTAGTCACAGTCAGAGAAACAGGACTACACTGGAAAACAGGCCAAGCTCCAACATCTAGAAACAAAGGTGTTGATGGCAGCAGCACAGCTGATATTTCTCTCCAGGATGGAGTCACAGCCAAACAGGAACAGACCAGATGAAGCTACTATGAGAAAAAGCAGAGAGAGCAGAACGTTAGAGATTGAACTAACAGATTCTGCAGAGTGGGAGAATAGAGATAGAATGAAGCAGAATTATGAAAAAGGGGTCCCTATGTCCTCCAGCAGTCTAAGCCTATAGCAGCAGAACTATAGAGATAGATCAGGATAACCTGAGCCACTCTAACTAGAAGCTTTATCAAAAAGGAAAGTTTTAAGCCTAGCCTTAAAAGTAGACAGGGTGTCTGCCTCACGGACTAAAACTGGTAGTTGGTTCCACAGGAGAGGAGCCTGAGAACTAAAAGATCTGCCTCCCATTCTACTTTTAGAAATTCTAGGAACCACTAGTAAACCTGCAGATTGAGATCGAAGTGCTCTGTTAGGAACATAAGGAACAATCAGATCTCTGATATCAGATGGAGCTTGGCCATTTAAGGCTTTATATGTGAGAAGGAGGATTTTAAATTCTATTCTGGATTTAACAGGAAGCCAATGAAGAGAAGCCAGGATAGGAGAGATATGATCTCGATTTTTAATTTTCATTAGAACTCTGGCTGCAGCATTTTGGATCAGCTGAAGGCTTTTAACTACAGTTTGTGGACTTCCTGATAGTAAAGAATTACAATAGTCCAGCCTTGAAGTAACAAATGCATGGACTAGTTTCTCAGCATCACCCCTGGACAGGAGATTGCTCATTTTTGCAATGTTCCTCAGATGACAGAAGGAAATTCTAGAAACCTCTTTGATCTGGTATTTAAATGACAGGTCCTGATCAAAAATAACACCAAGATTTTTTACTTTATTATCTGAAATCAGTTTAATCCCATCCAAATGAAGTGACTGACTAATCAGTTTCTTTTTCAGAGACTCTGGTCCAAAGACTATAACTTCTGTTTTGTCTGCATTCAGAAGCAGAAAGTTAAGAGTCATCCAGGTTTTTATGTCTTCAGACATGCCTGTAATCTATGTAATGGGTTAATAAACTGGATTATTCTTCCAATAACCACAGATTATCTCAAATCAAACTTTATTTATAAATCACATTTACAACAACCAGGGCTGACCAAAGAGCTGCACAGGAATCACAGTTCAGGAACAAAAGATAAAAACTAAAGGCTAAAATACATAAACGCATAAAATAAAATAGGATAAATGTTTCAATTAAAATACATTTTAGAATAAAATAAAAATTTAAAATACAATTTTGCCGAATGTCCACTTAGACATGATTAAAAGCCAGGGAGAAGAAATGTGATTTTAAAGAGGATTTAAAAACCTCAGAGGAGCTGCTGATCTAATCTGCCATAAAGACTCGATCACCTTTGGTTTTAGGTCTGGTTTTAAGTCTGGTTTTAGGCATCGCCACTAGCAGCTGATTAGAGGATCTCAGTGTTCTGGATGGATTTGGAGAAGCTCAGTCAAATGCTGGGGGGTTAGACCATTAAGAGCTTTAAAAACAAACAATAAAATGTTTAAATCTATACTAAAAACAACCGGTAACCAGTGCAGTGAGGCTAGAACAGGTGATCTCTGGTCACGTTTACCTGTGCCAGTAAGGAGACGGGCAGCTGCATTCTCTACCAACTGCAGACGGTGTGAAAGTGAGCGGTCCAAGCCAGCATAGAAAGAGTTAAGTAATCCAATCTAGTATTAATAAAAGCAGGATTAAAGTCTCCAGATCTTTTTGTGGCAGCTTCCCTTTCAGTTAAAAAAAAAATCTTACCTTGTAAAAGTTGTTTTTTACAACCGAACTAACCTGGCGATCAAATTTCAACCTGACATCAAGTATTATACCAAGATTTTTTTACTGATGATCGAATGTTGGGTGTTAATGGTGTTAATTAAGTTAATGAATAATCTTTGGAATAATCTGTGTTTCCAGCAGCATTCAGTTCAAACTCTTGTACTTTTTCTTCCAAATCCAACAAAGGGATTAAATTCATTCATATCTGATCAAATGAAGTTTGATGGTTAAAAAGTTTGGAGTTAAAATGAAAACATTCAAATCCAGGAAGCTGGATTGGGATCAGGTCTGTGATCACATGGTGTTCTATTGGCCAATGAGAGGCTGTCTGTCACCTGGATTACAGCCCAGCATCACCTGCAGCCGGGACCTAAGGCTCCCTGCTGGACTCCAACCGTTGGCTCCAGGTAGGCAGACCGGTCAACCACCAAGTCTTTGTCTTTTGTTTGCTTTGAGGTCTTTACTAAAACAGGTCAGGTTTCCTGTTTAGCTGCATAAACATATCTGAGTGGACCTGGATCTGACCTGCATCTCCTGCTGCTGTTCGATCTGCTCTACCAGCAGATGGCTAACACAGATTAGCGGCTAAAAGCAGATTAGCTCCACTTCTCACTGGATGGACTGACGACGTCCCTCTGTGTTCATTCTCTGCTGTAGGTGAAGCTGTTTTCCTGCTGGCTGTACTGGTTTGTACTGGTGGACTGACTGACTGAATCAGGACCCCCCCCCCCCCCCCTCCGACCCTGAGCTGCCATCAGAGGGTCGCCTCCTCTGACAGAAACCATCCAGAGTTTTAAATCAGTTCATGAACCGTCTAACAAATTAGGATTATTGTGAAAAATGTATTAAAACTGTTGCTGGTTCAAATGCATTAATATGAGGCAGAGGAGGGGCCAGGGGCCAACTGGCCCCCCATCTAATACTGGGCCCTTAAAGACACACTATTAGCCAGAGAGTTCAGATACATTCAATGACAGCTCTATACCAGATGGTGAAACTCAGCCCCGTCAAAATAAAAGGGCCGTTTTTGAGCCGTCTCTGCTGTTGGTACGTATTGTTTCAAGAGGTGATTCTAAAAATGGTGGCACCTCATGTATCATCTTCTTTATTTAAAGAATAAGGCCCCCCCCCACCTGAGGAGTGGGTAAAGGGAGGTGAGGTCGGAACAGAAGGAAGGAGAATGTTTAGCTTTTCTGCTCCACCTTCATGGAGCAGTTTGTTCCAGAGCTCCTGTGTTCTTCCCTTCTGTCAGCGTGCCCCAGAACAGCTTTGGCTGCATCACGTGCCATCGAGCATCCAGACGTATGGAAGTACAGGAGACATGAGATGCTGCATTTGGCCTCTGTAGGATGAAAACACCAAACCTGTCTGTTGATGCATTTTAGTCATAAAGTCTGTGATGATGATGATGCTGATGAAGCATCATCTCCAAATGACCCAAAGACGATAATTTTGTCTTTTTTGTGTAGCTTACATGAGAAGATCCGTTCCATTAATGTTTCCATGAAGGAAACATTTTACCTAATAAAGACACTTATTTGGATTTAATGTTAAAAAATGAAGGATATCTGCTGAAAGGTTGGTGTTGACACTAAACTCATATGGGAGAGTAGAACATGATGGAATAACGGAAAATCAAGAACCAATGGGAAAAAAAGGTGTTACCCTTTAAGTTTAATTCTGACATAAAATGTTGTATAACCCGTCTACCTTTAGGCTGCAATAAATCTAAACCTGATGATAGGTTGAGACTAGGATCTAAAGTACAGTTAGTCTCCACCAAGGATCACCTCACTGTGAAGGGCTGTAATGGAGAGAAACAAATTATTGTAGAACTCAGGATCATCTATATTAGGACAGGTTAACCAAAATTAATTTTTGGTTCATCACAGAGGTTTGGATTATTATGAATCTCCCAGCAGGATCTATGATAGTCTTTTTTTATACAAATAGGTAAAGGTTTATGAAAAAGATATCCCCCCCCTCCCCAGCATGTGGAGAAAAGGAGCTTGAAAAAACCTGGCCTGGCCATCTTCTTCTTAGTTGTACAATTTTGTTTTTAAGCAAGTGCGTTTCTCAGATAAAAACCACTTTAGAATGGTATTGTTTGAGTCTATTCAAAACTCTTTTGAGTTTAATCAATTTCCTCAGGCCTCTCACGTTCCTGGAGATCACATCAACAGCGGACTCAGCACTCATTTACTTAATGTCCATATATCCTTACTTTCTGCTTTTTGTCTCCGCTGTAGGAACTTGCAAATTACAACTTGAAGGGTTAGGGTTAGTGTTCAGTGTTCGCACCTTGAGAACACTGAACATTTATAAAGACAAGAAACTTTCCTGAGATTTCCCACAAATTTGAATCTCAGATTCCCCTCTATTCTGTGACTTGGCTATGTTACTGATCCTAGAAAACAAAGAATTCACACCACCACCTTAAACTGCAAACTCCAACCATAGTATCTAGAAATTATGTCCCACCGCTATGAGGGAGATCTAGGTGAAAATGTGTAATGTCCAGCAACAAAGATCAAATGGAATATTGATCCTTATTAAACTTTGCTGACACCATCCAGAGTGTAAGTGTGGTCACCCGTCAGTTTGTTGTTTTGTTTTCCATATAAATTCCTCCACCTCTCGTGTGGAAAAGGAATCAATTACCGTGGTGAAGAATACTCATCTTTGCTGGGAATATCAGACCAAAGTTTATATTCAGATTTCACCTGGTCGTATTGTTTCCGTTGCTTCACCCCCTCAGCGGATAGGTCAGGGAAGAACATCACATGACAGTACATCACCTTTCCGTTCAGACGAGCTGCAGCCATCTTATCTTGATAGTTTAGAAATTTCATGATGATGACACATGGCGGGACGCCTGGAGCACTCTGGCCCTGCAGCCTGTAAGCGCGTTCGATGATGGGGGGGATGGAAATACGTCTCGCCCCAGGATCTCCATCAGTCAGGTCTGTACAAAAGCCGCAATGTCCCCTTGCTCTGTTTTCTCAGGTAGACCCACAAGTCTTGGATTGGATCTTCAGGAATTATTTTCAATCTCATTTACCTTCAGAGAGAGCTCCTTTAATTTTCTTTGAGAGGATGTTTCTTTACTTGTTATTGACGCGAAGCTGTCCTCCAGTTCACTAATGCGGGATTCTGCAGAGGTAAGTCTCTCGAGTAACCCTCCAATTGTGTCTTTAATGAGGTCATAATCTCCCGTAGCTGCAAGGTAAAGTGTTTTTTCAAGACTTGGATTGCTTCCAGGAGGTTAGTTTCAGAAGTCTGGGGGCTAGCGCTAGCCTCCTCCATGAGCTTGGATTCCACTTCACTTCTAGCGTCGCCTTCGGACCCTTCTTTTCTGCTTGCTTTCACTTTTAGATTGTTTTTTAGTAGGCATCCAGCGGGTTGGATTGAGTCTCTGGCTTATTCCAGGGAGTTTGCTCATATGAAATATATGTTAGCGGTGGTCCAAATATCTAAATACTGGGGATATTGTTTCGAGCTCAGAGCTCAGCTGTTCCTCAGTAAGACGCCATAACCGGAAGTCCGTCTACTCTACGTTTACTCCATTTTTAATCTATGTCTACTCTACATTTACTCTATGTCTACTCTACGTCTACATTTACTCTAAGTTTACGCTAGGTCTACTTTACGTCTACTCTACATAATAATAATAATAATAATAAATTTTATTCGAAAGCGCCTTATCACAACACCCAAGGACACTGTACAGGCAGATAAAAACATTAAAAACAGGGAGCTAAAAAGTACAAGCATAAGATGCCACAGAAAACAAAACAGCAGGAAGTAAGATAAAACCAAAGGAAGAAAAGGAAGAGAACAATATTGAAGTGATGCGTAGGAACTAGATGGGATAGGACTGTCTGAACAGGAAAGTTTTGAGTCTGGATTTGAAAAGAGGGAAGGAGTCCAGAGTACGGAGATCCGGAGGACATTTACTCTACATCTACCCTATGTTTACTCTGCGTTTCCTCTACGTCTATTCTACATCTACTCTGTTTACTCTACGTCTACTCTACGTTTACCTTAATTTTACTCTAAGTTTACTCCGTCTAAAGGTCATATGGTGGTGAACAGGAGCTTCAGAGGGTCAACTGGACCAGTGCCCTGGTACACTGGGCTGACTTGTCCAAGGTGAGGGGCTCCAGGCTCCAGGCTATCTCTAGTGGTCATCCGGTTAACACTAGCAACACTGTTGCTGAGTTTGAATCCAGCGGCTACGTCCTCTAAAGGCCAGATCTTTTGGCCAATTACGTCATAGCGTGGCATCAAGGCCTGTTTGGATTTAAAGACTCCTCGTTATTCGGTCGACAAATGCAGCCTTCTTTTAGCCCTTTTGGAGGACAGGTATCCTAAGTAGCTTTGGGTATCCCATGATTCAATGCAAGTCCAAGCAAACCAGCTGCTCTGTGCACAGAGGAAAAAGGGATATGGCACCGAACAGTGGTGAATGTTAAAAGTTCAGTTTAATAAAATCCAAGTATGTGAATAGTTCACTCTGAAATTAATTAAAATAGTTAGAGAAGTTTAACATCCACCAGCGGTGAAAGCTGTAAAAGGCTGAACCTGTTTGAATCCATTACTAAACTCTTCCAGCCTTCCAAGGACCCAGTCCAGGTAGACCGGGTCCTTAGATGACAAATCTGCTGAAATTGAACACACCCTGTGACATACAAGTGACCTGAGTCTACCCAGTTCTGCCGTTAACAACAACCAGTCTGATCTGGTGTTCTTCTGTGTGGACTCTCCCTTGGCATTAGTGTCCTACACAAATTCTCCTTCCTCTGCTTGTCTGGTGCTGCAGGTGAAACATCACATCCAAGAGGACATACGTCAAAAGAAACTAAAACTGGAAGAAGAAAAACTTCAACTTCAACACCTAAAGGTCTCATTCAGTAATCATCTGAATAAAAGCAGTTGTCCAGTGGATGGAGGAGTATGAATTCTCCTTCCTTCCCTGAAGCCTGTGTTGTGTGGTTTGAACAGAAGAGGGCGCTCAGAGAGCAGTGGCTGATGCAGGACTCAGCCGTCCACCAGCAGTCTGATCTGCAGCAGAGCCGAGCTCTGTTCCTCAAATCCACAGGTACAGCTCACACGCAGCCTGGTCACAGCTGGACCCACACTGTGTTCTCATGACCTTTACATGCTGTCAGGATGGAAAAGGAGCTGGACTTCCTGGAGAGGCAGGAGGCGATGGTTTCCACCAATGAAAGCCTCATCCTCACCCGACTGAAGGCTATGGAGAAAAGTCCAGAGGAACTCATCCAGGTGGGCCGCCTTTCTTAACAGATACCCCCTCTAGCCACTGCTTCAGTCACCTTCTGTTACTGATCCGGTTGTCTTTCAGGAGGCCCGATACAGCTGGACTGGTAAGTCCTGACTAGTTCTTTCACCCTTCAGATGTTGTACAGATGAACAGATTCTCACAGCTGTTTTCTGTCCCATAGTATTACCCGAACCGACCGGCAGTCATCTCTCAGGCTTTCCCAGCCCATCAGCCAACAACCTGAACACTCCAGCAAACAGTAAGAACTACTTGCTGCCACTAGAGGGAGCTACTGCTGCTGTTGGTGAGATGTATCGCGTTCACTTCCTGTTTGGACTACTGAGCAGTGTTGCTCAGTCTATCTCCATCTGAATGAAGTTATTTTTTCTGATATCTCTGTATCTAAGTAACTCTAACTGGCCAGAACTACTTTAAAACGTGGCGCCTTCTGCTGCACTTTTCTACTGAGCACTTGTCAGTTTCACACGGTTTTATTTCTGGTAGTAAGGAGTAGCTAGCCTAGGCTAGCACTAGCTTAGCATCACTATGGCTTCTCTCTCTCCCTCCCTTGACTCTTTTCCAACTCTTCCTTCTTCCTCTCCTCTCTCCTGCTCTCTGTGTCAGATGTTCAGTTATTCCTCTGCCTCCTTTAGTGATAATGGGATGTGTAATAAGTGTAGTATTTTTGTAGCTTTGGAGGCGAGGGTGTCAGAGTTAGAATCCAGGCTTCAGGCTGTTGAACATCCAGGAGTTAAAGTAGGCCCCCCACGTAGCTGTCCTCCAGCAGTGCCTGAGCAGCCAGGCGATTGGGTAACTGTACGCAGAAAGCGTAGTCGTGGATCTCTGCCCACTAGTCACCACCAACCCGTTCACGTTTCTAACCAGTTTTCCCCACTCAGTGACACACCCACTGAGAAGCCCACTCTGGTGATTGGCAGCTCCATAGTCAGAAACGTGGCATTAGAGACACCAGGGACCATAGTCACATGTTTGCCGGGGGCCAGAACGGGCGACATCACATCCTACCTGAAACTACTGGCTAAGGATAAGGTTAAATACAGTAAGATTGTTATTCACGCTGGTGGTAATGACACCCGGTTACGCTGATCGGAGGTCACTAAAATTAGTGTTGCTTCGGTGTGTAAGTTTGCCAAAACTTGAGCACTGGTGGGAGGCAGCTCTGACAACCATTCATAAAACTTCTATATGTGCCCGCCTGACTTTGATAGGGTTCAAAGTGAATTTCAGATGTCATTATTCAAAGACTAGACACATGTGCACACATGTTTTTTATCTGCTCAGCCCTAACAAATTTCTGGCAAATTTATCTTCACACCATGTCTGATGTACTTTGAAGAACTATTGATACTTCAGCTCACACTGGTATCTTTGGTCTCCCAGAGCAATATAGTCAATACTCCGCAAGAGATTTGGAAGTGATAGTTTTTTACCTCTGTGATCGCAAGAAGCCACCTTCTCTTTAACTGGAAATCAACTATATCCCCATCTAACACAAACTGGATAAATGAGGTCATGTCCTTTCTGAAAGTGGACAAAATTATATATACAAAAACTGGAAACTTGAACAATTTCTACTCTAAATGGCAACCTTTTATTGATTTTGTTGCTTCGATGTAGAATTGTAAACCCCACACACCCTGCTTTTTTTCTTCTCTTCTCCCTGAAGTATACCGTTTCTTTTTATTACTAATTTTAATCCATTATGTTTTACTTATGTAGTTGTTCTGTGTGTGTTCTTTTTTCCAGAAACGTTTATCTTACAGTTAATGCTATAAACCAGGGATGTCGGGGTCATATAATCTGAGGACGAGAGAAGCAAGTTCCCTGTAGACCGAGAGCCGGACTGGTTCTGTGTTTACTAAAACATATTGATATAATGCATTTATATTTCTGGGGTTAGGCCAGTTCAATAGTGATATTGCAACAAATATTATAATTTTTTTTTTTTTCAAGTTCACTTTTTTGCTTCTAAAACATCAAGCCTGTATACAAGTTCTACTGGATCTAAATCAGTAATACAACTGAAACATAGAACAGGTCACAGTAGTTTTTGTGCGCTTTAGTTTATTAATATCTTTTATATTCTGTCTAGGAACTGCAGGTGAAAATGCAACCTTCTTATGTACAGTAATGCTAATAGTATTTATTTTCCCTATAATAATAATAATTTAAAAAAAAAAGTTTGCCAAAACAATATGGGACTCTAATTTTCTCTGGTCCCCTCCCTGATCTGACCAGTGATGACATGTTTAGCCTCATATCGTCGTTCAACCGCTGGTTGTCTAGGTGGTGTCCTGAAAACAACGTGGGCTACATTAATAATTGGCAATCCTTCTGGGGAAAGCCTGGTCTGATTCGGAGAGACGGCATCCATCCCACTTTGGATGGTGCAGCTCTTCTTTCTAGGAATCTGGCCACATTTATTAGTCCTCCAAAACCCTGACCCCCCAGGGTGCAGACCAGGAAGCAGAGTCCTAGTTTAACAGACCTCTCTGCAGCTTCTCTACTGTTACCCACTCTTTACTCCATCCAGACGGTGTCTTGCCCACAAACAAAATCTAATAAATTAGCAAAGATTCCCAGAGTAGTAAATCCTGATAATCTAATTAAAATTAAAATAACTCCAATTGGGGAAAAAGTTAAAACGATTAAATGCGGTCTGTTTAACATAAGATCTCTTTCCTCTAAAAGTCTGCTAGTTGATGACTTGATTTGTGATAATCACATTGACTTATGTTGCCTTACAGAAACCTGGCTGCAGCAAGAGGATTATGTGAGCATAAATGAGGCAACTCCTTCAAGCTATTTACATTTTCACATCCCCAGAAGTTCTGGGCGAGGAGGAGGAGTAGCAACAATCTTCCAGTCTGACTTACTGATTACTCCCAAAACAGTTAATACCTGCAACTCTTTTGAATATTTAACCCTTAATTTCCCTGATCCAAATTCCAAAGCCAGAAAACCTCTTCTTTTTGTAACTTTGTATCATCCACCAGGTCCCTACTCTGAATTTTTAGATGAGTTTTCAGAGTTCCTTTCTGATTTGGTATTAAATACTGACAGGGTCATCATAGTGGGAGATTTTGACATCCATGCTGACATTGAAGGCGATAGCTTAAGAGCAGCCTTTAATGCTATCTTAGACACTATTGGCTTTGTTCAAAATGTGAATAGTCCCACACATTCTCATCTTCATACTTTGGATCTTGTGCTGACATACGGCATAGAATGTGAAGAAATAACAGTATTTCCTCACAACCCTGTCCTCTCTGACCACTTTCTAATAACCTTCAGGATTACTTTAACAGAGTTCTCCTCCCCCAAAAGAAGGTTCAATTTTAGTAGATCTTTATCAGATAGTGCAGTTATAAATTTTTAAGAATCTGCTTCACTTTCTCTCTCCTCTGTGTCGCTGAGCAGTGCTGCAGAGTGCAAAAGCTTAGCTTATTCCCCTTCACAGGTTGATGATTTTGTTGATGGGGTTGCTAGTTCTCTGCGTACTGCCTTAGACAATGCAGCTCCTTTGAAAATGAAAACCGTTAAAAATAGAAAGCTTGCTCCTTGGTTTAATGCAGAGCTGCGCACTTTGAAGCAAAATGCTAGGAAACTGGGGAGAAAATATCGCTCCACAGGCCTGCGGGAGTCCTTCCTAGTCTGAAAAAATAGTTTACTGCTGTATAAGAGGATCCTTTGTAAAGCAAGAGCAGCATACTTCTCCTCATTAATAGAGGAGAATAAGAATAATCCTAGATTTCTTTTTAATACAGTTGCCAGACTCACCCAGAGCCATAGCTCTGTTGAACCGTCCATTCCACCTGCTCTTTGCAGGAATGATTTTATGGGATTCTTTCTAATTGATAATTGATCTTATTCAAAACAGGATAATTAGCAGTCCACTATCTACGATTGATTTATCTCTGCAAGGTGAGGCAGCATCTGAGGTAGTCATGGAATCTGAACCCGGTTTAGACTGCTTTGATCCAGTTGAACTTTCACAGTTAGCAAAACTATTTTCTTCATCTAAGCCTTCAACTTGGATGTTAGATCCAGTTCCAACCAGGTTATTTAAGGAAGTATTCCCTTTAACAAGGTTTTTTAAGGAGGTATTCCCTTTAACCAGGTTATTTAAGGAGGTATTCCCTTTGATCTCCTCCTCCATTCTAGATGTGATTAATCTATCTCTGTTACAGGGATATGTACCTAAAGCTTTTAAGGTTGCTGGAATTAAACCTCTGCTTAAGAAACCGCCTCTTGACCCAGATGACTTGGTCAATTATAGACCTATATCCAATCTTCCTTTCTGATCTAAAATTCTCGAGAAAGTAGTTGCCAAACAAGTGTGCAATCACTTCCACCATAATGAACTTTTTGAAGAGTTTCAGTCTGGCTTTAGAGCTCATCATAGCACTGAAACAGCTCTGGTGAAAGTCACTAATGATATTCTCATGGCCTCAGATAATGGACTTGTATCTGTGCTCGTCCTGTTGGATCTCAGTGCTGCAATTGATCCAGTTGATCATAATATTCTTTTAGAAAGACTTGAATATTTTGTTGGAATTAAAGGAACAGCTCTAGACTGGTTTAAATCTGATCTATCTGATTGATTTTAGTTTGTTCACGTTATTGACAGATCTTCCTCATGCTCAAAGGTTACCTGTGGCAGAGAGCCTTCTCCCCCTGGTGTGGAACAGCTTTCACTCCTAGAGTGCTGTTTAGTTCAAGTTTGCTCTTGATGTCCTCAGAACCTCTCTGTCACAAGACTTGAAAGCTGAGTTCTGTGCTTTTAGCGATTTCTGAACCTCCCTATTCCTCCAGGACTGTACTCATACTCGTCTATATTTATATTTATCTTGTTGTCATCGGTTGCTGCATCTTTGAAAATGTTCCAGTCAGAGCATTCAAAGCAGCCCTGGAGTTTCTCCATGGCACCTTCGTACCAAACTCTGACCTCCTTAACTGTTGGTTTAGCCCTGTTTGGCTGGGGCCTGTATTCAGGAATTAGCATGGCTAAGATCACCTGCTTCCTATCAGCTGATTACTGCATTCATTGTTCTGTTTGGCATTTATACTCCTCCTCTGCAGTTATTGGTCTCTGGATTCTCTTCATTCTCTCCTTAACCCATTGGTTTCCCTTTCTTCCCGTTCCTGTTTTCCTTAATTAGTTATTTCTGGATTTATGTTTCTATTGCCACCACTTCTTATTAAATCTGCTAGAAACCGCCTCAGCTTCCGCCTCTGCATTTCGTTGCTCTTCAAACCTCCACACAACCTGACAATCAAATTATTTTACCCATTTGGATCCTTTTGGCTTGCCATACCTGCCTAGGTTACAATGGTTCCTATATCAGGCTTCTGCTTTGTTGATGTTAGATTGAAGTTCAGGACCTTCCTTCTCACCTCCTGCCCAGACGGAGCATTTAGCAAAATAACAAATCCATCCATCAATCCATAATGCTATATTCCTGCTGGGGTGGTGAGGCATGCTGGTGTCTATCTCCAGCTGTCTACGTGTGAGAGGCGGGGTCCACCCTGGACAGGTCTCCAGTCCATCACAGCACAACACAGAGACAACCACTCACACCTAAGGAGAATTTAGAGGAGCCAGTTAACCTAACAGCCATGTTTTCGGACTGTGGGAGGAAGCCGGAGTACCCAGAGAGAATCCACGCTTGCTCAGGGAGAACATGTGAACTTCATGCAGAAAGACCCCAGGCCGGGAATCGAACCCAGAGTCTTCTTGCCGCAATGCAGCAGTGCTACCCACTGCTTCACTGAGCAGCCCTAAACTGGACTGAATGTTAAACTGAGTGAAATAAACCCAGGTTAACTGAACTATGTCTCTACCTCCTTTTTTTTCAGCTCTGTTCGGCGTGGAAATCAATGTGACTGAAAACATGTTAACTGGTTCTAGAGGAAATGTTTCTGCTGAGGAACGTTGCCTCCAGTCTGGGCTCCAGGTCTGTGACGAAGACAGCAGGTGTCCTCTGCAGGTACTGGTCCTAACCCATAGGGTCCAGTCTGTTAGTCAGCAGCCTGTTCTGGTAAATTGCTTCTGATTCTTCTATACTGACACATACTGTTGGTTTGCAAAGCTGTCATACCTAGATAATCAAGTTAGCTCTGTTGTTAGATCACGTTTTTATCACCTGCGGATTTTAGCAAAACTTAAATCTTATTTTTGTTTTAAGGACTTTGAAGGACTTATCCATGCTTTCATTACATCCCGGTTGGATTATTGCAATTCATTATATAGAGGCATGAATAAATCACAGATGCAGCGACTTCAATTGATCCAGAACGCAGCGGCTCGGCTTCTTACAGGAACCAGGAAGCATGACCATATAAGGCCTAATGGCCTCTTTACATTGGCTGCCTGTCTTTTACCGAATAGATTTTAAGATTCTTTTATTAACTTATAAGGTCTTAAATGGATTAGCTCCTCCTTATCTTAGAGACCTTTTAAAATTCCAGTCTGTGTGGAGAAGTCTACGTTCAAATAATCAACTATTACTGACGGTTCCTCTGACTCGACTTAAGAGGAGAGGAAATCAGGCTTTCTCTGTTGTTGCTCCAATTCTGTGGAACAATTTGCCTCTTCAAATTAAATCCGCCCACAGCCTGGATAATTTTAAATCGCTTCTTAAAACTTATTATTATTCTTTGGCTTTTAATTGAGGCAGTTTTTCACATTCTGTTTTGTTAATTGGTGTTGTTGTCTTTCCTGTAAAGCACTTTGGTGCAGTTTTATACCTGTTTTTAATGTGTTATATAAATAAATGTGACATTGATATTGAAATAATACCTACTTACTTACACCTCTTTCCAAAAAAAAAAAACCTTAATGACCTTTGGACCAGTTTTATGCACTTCCTGTGCGGTTCTGCAGCACATCACTTGTTAAAGTGAATAAAACTGACAGATTAATGACAAACTAAAATAAATTGGTCAAAGCCACCTGCTGGAGATAGTTTGCATGTTTTTGCTAACTCCATCAGTGTGACATGCATCCCCTTCAGCACGTTGGCAGGTTTGATGTTTCCATGCAAACACATCCTTGAGGAAAATACTATATTATCAAATGATTTGCTGCCAAAAAACATAAAACCAAACCACAATATGATCACTCTAATGTAGCTTAAAGCAAAGAAGCATCTATGTCCCCAACTGATTTGCTATGTGAAGTACAGATGTAGCAATAAGACTTCCTGATGGTGTGAAACATGAAGAACCAGTGGATCTTAATCAGCACACAATCATACCCTGTAGACAGGCTTTAGTTTCACATATTTACACAGGTTTTTCTACCATAAATATCTGCAAACTACAGAAATGTCTTTACTGTAAGCATGAGAAGTTTTTTGTTTCAGCCGAGGATATTCCCACTAGAACCACTAGAACAGCAACAGGTTGCTGTTCTAGTGGGAAACTTGTTTTCTCCTTTAGTCTCTTCTGAAGGCATGTTTCCACTACAGGACCCAAACAGGGCTGAGTGAAAAACTGCTGATCCCACTGCAAATAGATGTCAGTCATCTGCAATCTGTTCAGGTGTACAGGCAGACAGAGATAATATCAAACAGACTCCAGGAAAAGGTTCCTGTGGTGAAGCTCTTTGTTCTTTGTCATATTTCTTAGGACTCGGGAGTCCAGAGGTGTTTTACCGAGCTGTCAGCCAGAAGCCAACCAGAAAAGCAAAACTACCTTTCAGGCTTTTGTCGATGTCATCATCAAGATGGAAAGAAAACCAAGGGAGGACATCATGGTAACTACATCCACCAAGGAACGACAGATGGGAAAAATGTTAACTTCAGGCAAACCTGGCAGAAGAGACCCCATGATGAGCACAGCTACAGTCCCAGCTCAACAGCCTATTGGGGGCTTTGTCCACATGATGACGACCAGAGAGACTCCCACAGCAGACTGTGTGAGATGAGAAGCTGCGGCTGCATCTTCAAAGATGGACCTGCTATTCCCCACAGAAGCAGACGCGATGGGACAGTCTGTCGGACAGAGTTGTGCCACAACACAGCGGGATTTCTTCCTTCTGTTGACAAAAGCAAGTTTTACTGCTACTACACATCAAGCATCCGACCAGAGAGCGGCTGCAACCGTTGGACTGCTCTGTACAGTGACCCCGCCCACTGCAGCAGGCTGCCCTCCCCTCTGTGCGCCGAAGACCAGCCTTACACCATCCTCCACTCCGCAGAGAGCTCTGAGCCAATCACAGCCATCTTCATGGGTTTCCACACAGCTCAGGATGATAGCGGGCAGCTTCAGGAGTGTGAGGGAACCCTAAAGGCGGAACTGGTCAAAATCGAAGACCATAGTGAAGAGGGGAAGAAGGTTAACCAGGTTTCAGAAAGATGCCCATCAAAAAGAAACCAGGGAGGGCGTTGGTCAGAGAAGAAGGTGGAGCCAGGTGTCAGAAACCTTAAAGAAAAACAGAAGCTCTGCTGTACGGTGGCCTGACTGCGTGGCTCTGATTTAACTCTCAGTTGCTTCATTCTAATGAGTCACATGGTGCCATGAGCCTCTTTGCTCATTACATTATTTTATTGGTAGACACATTGTTCTACAAACCCAAGGAAGGCTTGAATGAATGTTTTATCACCATGTCTACCAAACCCGATGGGTCCAGCACACAAAGGGAGGATGCTTCCAGTTAAAACAGCCAGTCCCTAAAATGAACATCATGCAACTTGATAAAAGATCTGTTTTTCACTGGAACACGAAGAATCAGAGACAGAGAAAAAAAAAATGTATTCATTGTGCCACAAAGTTTAAATGTGGAAAACTGCAGTGTTCACAATCCATCACAATATGATGGAAAACTCACATTTTGGTTTAGTTTATTTCATACAGTTAAATCAACAGACAGGACAAGGGAGAAAGACAGAAAACACAAAAGACATGAACTCAAGATGGATAATAATAAATAATTCTACTGCTTATCTGTTGATAAACATACTTCATCCTACCAACATTTACATTTTTACATCTTTTCATATGTTTAGTTTTCTAATTCTATTGTTCGTGTAGAAATAAAACTATCGTTGTAGATTTTCTTTTTGTCATCTTCTGCCCTTTGTGGGCTTTTTGGTTCTGTTTAAGTTTCTAATTGAGTTTTCGGTTAAACTTTGATTTAAGTCATTCTAGGTCATTTTTTTATTTTAATTTAGTGTCATTCTAGTTGTTTTCTAGTTCTATTTGGGTTTGTATGTATTTCTTGTTTACTTTCTGCTGCCTCTTTGTACTAGTCTACTTTCCCCTAGCTCCAAGTGTAAGTATGAGTATAGCCTATATGGCTATATATAATTAATGTGATCTTAACAGATCACAAAAACTCTGCGAACAAATCACCCTCTTCACTAGAGATGGTGAGATGAAGCCTCATGAGGCATTGAACCGTTTGGCCAAATTGCTTTAACATCCCCACAGGTTATGAGACTTCATGTGAACATGTCACCACCTACTGGTGGAGTGCGGAAGTACGGTTAGTAACAATCTGATTTTTTTTGCAATTGATTTTCTTGTTTTTTTTTCGCCCATTTAGGTTCCTTTTGAAATTGTCAATGATTGGTGGTATAATAAAATCTTTTTAAAAGTTTTTTTATGTGTGTGTTATTGTGTCAGAAGAGAAAAATCATTTTAGGAACACAGTTTTTCTGCCATTTTGGTGAAATAACCTCAAGCAAATAGTCAAAGTGTTTGTGCAAATTGGGAAATGATGAGCAAAATGAAAGGAGTTAATCATTTCTCTTCAAACATTATCGTTTTTTCCAAGGTTTTGGTTTTAATTGGGTTGGAAGTTATTAATTCAACCAATATTTAGCCAAAATAATTTGGCAGTGTTTTTACCCAATTTCTATTTTTATTAGGGCAAACAAATACTAATCAGTCACATTAAACAAAATATTGAAGTATAATCACCACTTTAAAAAATCCAAAGAAAGTCCATCCATCCATCCATCCTCCTCCGCTTATCCGGGGTCGGGTCGCGGGGGCAGCAGCCTAAGAAGGGAGGCCCAGACTTCCCTCTCCCCAGACACTTCTTCTAGCCCCTCAGGAGGAACCCCAAGGCGTTCCCAGGCCAGCAGAGAAACATAGTCTCTCCAACGTGTCCTGGGTCTTCCCAGGGGCCTCCTCCCGGTGGGACGTGCCCGGGGGCCAGGAGGCATCCTAACCAGATGCCCGAGCCACCTCAACTGGCTCCTCTCGATGTGGAGGAGCAGCGGCTCTAATCCGAGTCCCTCCCGGATGACCAAGCTTCTCACCCTATCTCTAAGGGAGAGCCCAGCCACCCTTCGGAGGAAACCCATTTCGGCCGCTTGCATCCGCAATCTCGTTCTTTCGGTCATGACCCAGAGTTCCTGACCATAGATGTGGGTAGGAATGTAGATCGACCGGTAAATCGAGAGCTTCGCTTTTTGACTCAGCTCTCTCTTCACCACGACGTACCGGTACAGCGCCCGTTTCACGGCAGACGCTGCGCCAATCCGCCTGTCGATCTCCCGCTCCCTTCTTCCCTCATTCGTGAACAAAATCCCGAGATACTTAAACTCCTCCACTTGGGGCAGGACACCCCCCCTGACCCGGAGAAGGCACTCTACCCTTTTCCGGCTCAAGACCATGGCCTCGGATTTGGAGGCACTGATCCCCATCCCGGCCGCTTCACACTCGGCTGCAAACCGATCCAGCGAGAGCTGCAGATCACGACCTGATGAAGCCAATAGGACCACCTCATCTGCAAAAAGCAGAGACGCAATCCTAAGGCCACCAAAACGGATCCCCTCAACACCTTGGCTGTGCCTAGAAATTCTGTCCATGAAGGTAATGAACAGAATCGGTGACAAAGGGCAGCCCTGGCGGAGTCCAACTCTCACCGGAAACGAGCCCGACTTACTGCCGGCAATGCGGATCAGACTCTGACACCGGTCATACAGGGACCTGACAGCCCGTATCAAAGGGCCCGGCACCCCGTACTCCCGGAGAACCCCCCACAGGGCTCCCCGAGGGACACGGTCGAACGCCTTCTCCAAGTCCACAAAGCACATGTACAAAGAAAGTATTTAACCAGGAGTGAGAGTCAACGTCTTAAATTGTTTAATCTAACTAAAATAATTTTAACCAACTAGATTGGTTGGAAAAACAACCAATCTATTCTTAGCTCCAAACTCTATCCAACTGACAGCAGCTCTCCTACAAACGCCCACATCTTGACTGAGTAGTGAGGCTGTTTAAATGGCTGTTGAAGTTCCTGCGCTTTCTGAAACACTTCTCAAAGTTGTCACCTGGAATGACAGTTGTGAGGCTTCGGACATCATCAATTTTGGCCCCTCCTCTAAATGAATCACACCTTGACACGCACTTTGGGGAAACACCCCCTCCATTACTCAACACACGCCTTGAAGCCTCTTCTCATCTCATAACATCACTAAGATAGTTTAATTGCTTTTAAACCAGTTGAATCTTGATGATTAATGTCTGATCCATGAAACAGTTTGACTTCAGGTACAGTGATGCTAAAAATGTTCATAGTTTTGACATTTATAGTTTTTACTTATCCAGTGTTCAGTTTATTTCTATAGCTGCAATTCACATCATGTCATCTCAGGTCACTTTATAGAGACAATTTAACCAGATCGTCCAGTGAAATTGGTTCAGAGTTTCTTTCTAAGGAACATCAGTTGATTGCGAACCGCCCACTAACCACTAACCCTTAACTATCAGCGTCACTCCCAATGAAGTTTGTGGAAAGAGCCTGGATTGATGATGTGTGGTATAAATGAGAATGGAATGGCTTCTTGATGTAGTTCTGAGACTGTCGCCCTTTCCTGCTGCTCCTGCATCTCCCTACTCCCTCTGCTTAGCTGTGTCTTGTCTTTTCTAAACTCTTTCTTCATATCACCTGAATTGAAACAATGGATTTGGTCAGCTGGTCTCTCAATACAATTGATAAAATTTTTCAACTGGAAGACAGGGATAAAGGGACCGTTCTTTCACACCCTGGAGGTGAACTGTGGTCCTCGGTCTGAAACTATGTCTAGTGGGATGCCATGGAGCCGGACCACATAGAGAACAAGGAGGTCGGCAGTCTCTGCAGGAGTGGGTAGTTTGGGAAGGGGGACAAAATGTTCAGCTTTAGAGAAGTGATCTACTATGGTTAGAATGACTGCGTTACCTTGGGAGAGAGGGAGACCAGTAACAAAGTCCAATGAGATGTGGGACCAGGGTCTGCTTGGGGTAGGCAGTGGCTGAAGGTAACCGGAGGGTTGCTGGTTGCTGGACTTCCCACGATTACAGACCGTACAGGAAGAAACAAATTTACTGCTGTCCTGAACTATTGACGACCATCAAAAGTGCTTCTTTAAGAGGGAGACAGTTCGTTGTACCCCAGGGTGGCAGATAAACTTGGAGGAGTGGACCCATTGCAAAACCTCAGACCGAACCCTTTCGGGGACAAACAGTCGGTCAGTAGGACAGTCGCTAGGAGTGGGCTGTTCTTGTTGGGCCTGCCTCACTAAGTGTTTGATCTCCCAGGAGAGGTTAGCCACCACAATAGAGGTTGGCAGAATTGTCTCTGTTGGGAGCTGGAGAAGTTCCACCTTTCTCCAGCAGAGTCCGCCGTGGATCCTTCTGAGTGAGCCTCCTGCACAGCTGCAGCTCATCAAGATCATCAGAGGATCCACCATATAAGCTGTCTTCAGACCTTGCCTCAACGCCGCAGTGTTGATCTAGTTGGTCAGCGCCTAAGCCTAGACTCTCAGTGTAACTTTGTGACTTTGAATCCAGCCTGGATTCTAACCGTAGTCTCTGTCTTCCAGGAAACCAGTGTCTCCTCTGTGAAGCTCTGGAAGAGCTAACCTGCCGAGCCGACCCTCAGAGCCAAACCCGAAGAACCTTAGAGAACTTCATGCAGCTCAGGACAAAGAGCTGGAAAACCCTAAGCCAAGGTCTGTTCTTTATTAGACGTGAGACGCTGAAGCAGCAAGCGGACTCTGCTGATCAACTCCTCTCCAGATCCAACAGTGACTCTCCCAAAGCTAACCTCAAGAACCCTCAAGGTACAATCACTTATCTTCAAGAAATCAAGTTCCAACTTGCAACGCTAACTGAACTGTCTCCCACGCAGACTACGGTGAACCAGTGTCCAGGCCCGAGCCAGAACCAGAACATTCTGTGTGCTTGTAGCAAAATAAACTTGTTGAACTTTTATTCCTGTGTCCGTCAGTGGTGTTCTGCATACTTGGGTCGCTCTTTGAGAACCCATCATGACAGTCTCAGGTTCCTCTTTGGGTGAATTGGGGTTGAACTGACTGTGCGTCAAGTTTGGCGTTATTAGAGCCTGGTCTGAAGTTTAGAATAAAGTTGAACTGGGAGAAAAACAAGGACCAACAGGCATGACAGGGTGTTAACCTTTTAGCGGTCTGTATATAAAACTGATTCTTGTGGTCTGTCCAGACTAAAAATGGTTCAGAGGAACCCTCCAGCCAATGGCACCGTTCCTCCAGGGCCAGTTTAACAGCTAACAGCTCACGGCGTCCCACACTGTAATTTCGTTCGGCCTCTGTTCACTGCTTTGAAAAGAAGGCACAGGGCAACAACTGTTGTGCAGGATTGCCACACTGGGACAGAACCAATCGTACCCAGTTTCTGAGGAATCCACCTCAACTACAAACTGTTTACAAGGATCTAGCTGGATAAGGACTGGTGTGGAGGTGAACAACTGTTTTAATGCCTTGAAAGCTGCAGCTGCCTCAGGTGACCACACAAATGGTTGATTGACGGATGTGAGTTTGTTCAGTGGTTGGGTCTCGAGACTGTAGTCCTTGATAAACTTGCGGTAAAAATTGGCAAAATGCTGGAGATGTTTACGGGTTTTGGGTTCTGGCTACTCAACCACTGCTTTGGTCTTGGCTGGGTCTGATCTAATTTGTCCTTCTCCAATAATAAAACCCAGGAAATGCACAGTTGAACAATGAAAGTCGCATTTTTCTGCCTTGACATATAGTTTGTTCAGTCATTGGAGGACTTACCTAACGTGACTAACATGCTCTTCCTTGGTCTTGGAAAAGATTAATATGTCGTCTATGTAGACAAACACAAAATGGTTCAGGAAGTCCCTTAGCACGTCATTCACTAGAGCCTGGTAGACAGCTTGGGCATTTGTTAGACCAAATGGCATCACCAAATACTCAAAATGGCCTACAGGAGTCTTAAAGGCAGTCTTCCATTCATCCCCATCATGGATGCAAACCAAATAATATGCATTACGCAAATCTAGTTTTGAAAATATAGTTGCACCGTGAAGCAGTTCAAAAGCTGAAGACATGAGGGCTAATAGATACTTATTCTTAATAGTAATGTCATTTAGGGCTCTATAATCAATACAGGGACGTAAGGTGCCATCCTTCTAGCCAACAAAGAAGAACCCTGCCCCTAAGGGGGATGAAGAGCGGCGAATAAGACCAGCCACCAGGGATTAATTTATGTAATTCTCCAGAGCCTCTAGTTCCAGTTTAGAGAGATGGTACAGGCGACTGGAGGGGAGCGGAGCATCTGGGAGGAGGTCAATGGAGCAATCATATGGTCTATGTGGGGGCAGTGTCCGGGCTTGGGTCTTGCTAAAGACATCTGCAAGATTGTGATATTCAGAAGAAACCTGTGACAAATCTGGGGATTCTACAATCTTGTCTTTGGTGTCTAATTTGGGCAGGGCAGAGCGAAGGCAATTGTTTGAACAAAACAACCTCCAACTAATTATCCTCCCCATAGACCAATCAATATGAGGGTTATGGAGGGCCTGCAAGGGGTGTCCCAGCACGATACAAAAACTGGAGTTGGGAATAATCTTAAATTGGATTAACTCCCTGTGATTACCTGAGGTGACTGTCAAAACTGGGACTGTTTGGTGGGAAACACAAAACAATTGTTTGCCATTTAAACCATTAGCAGACAATGGGGGGCTGAGAGGTTCAATGGAAATATTCAGCTGCTTTGCCAATTCAGCATCAATAAAACTGTCTTCTGCCCAAGAGTCATTTTGTTATCCAATGAGCAGACGTTGGAGAACAGAATTGATGGTAGTGGAGGTCTGTGGGGATTCCTCCCTAGCTTCCCCATTAGCCCCCCTCTGCAGCCTCACTTCCTCTATCTAGTACATCTCTTCCTCAGGGCTGGCCTGGTCAGTGATTGCGCTGTTGCTTTGTTTACATCTGTCTGTAGCACTCCGCAGCTTCTCCTCCAGCAGTCTAAAACTATAGCAGCAGAACTATAGAGATAGCTCAGGATAACCTGAGCCACTCTAACTATAAGCTTTATCAAAAATGAAAGTTTTAAGCCTAGCCTTAAAAGTAGACAGGGTGTCTGCCTCACGGACTAAAACTGGTAGTTGGTTCCACAGGAGAGGAGCCTGATAACTAAAAGATCTGCCTCCCATTCTACTTTTAGAAATTCTAGGAACCACTAGTAAACCTGCAGATTGAGAGCAAAGTGCTCTGTTAGGAACATAAGGAACAATCAGATCTCTGATATCAGATGGAGCTTGGCCATTTAAGGCTTTATATGTGAGAAGGAGGATTTTAAATTCTATTCTGGATTTAACAGGAAGCCAATGAAGAGAAGCCAGGATAGGAGAGATATGATCTCTCTTTTTCATTTTCATCAGAATCTGGCTGCAGCATTTTGGATCAGCTGAAGGCTTTTAACTACAGTTTCTTGTTAGGATTCCAGTTTGTGTGGGTTGTTTTTGTATTTTTCTTCTCTCCACCACCAGATTGTGCCCTGTTCTCGTTGGGCCTCCTTGCACACCTGCGGCTCGTTGGGTCTTTACCAGAGGAGTATTTGAGCAGCAGGCTGTCACTACCTCGAGGCCAGAGTGTTTGCCAGTATTGGGCAGTTTAATCCCATCCAAATTTAGAGACTGACTAATCAGCTTATTTTTCAAAGACTCTGGTCCAAAGACTATAACTTCTGTTTTTTTCTGCATTGGAGCAGAAAGTTAGGAGTCATCCAGGTTTTTATGTCTTCAGACATGCCTGTAATCTATGTAATGGGTTAGCTTCATCTGGATTATAGACAGATATAGCTGGGTATCATCAGCATAACAGTGGAAATTAATCCCATGCTGTCTAATAACTCTACTGATTGGGAGCATGTATAAAGTAAAGAGAATTGGTCCTAGCACTGATCCCTGTGGTACTCCACAGCTAACCTTTGAGCATGAGGAAGATCTGTCTTTAACGTGAACAAACTGAATTCGATCAGATAGATCAGATTTAAACCAGTCTAGAGCTGTTCCTTTAATTCCAACAAAATATTCAAGTCTTTCTAAAAGAATATTATGATCAACTGGATCAAATGCAGCACTGAGATCCAACAGGACGAGCACATATACAAGTCCATTATCTGAGGCCATGAGAATATCATTAGTGACTTTCACGAGAGCTGTTTCAGTGCTATGATGAGCTCTAAAGCCAGACTGAAACTCTTCAAAAAGTTCATTATGGTGGAAGTGATCGCAAACTTGTTTGGCAACTACTTTCTCGGGAATTTTAGATCAGAAAGGCAGATTGGATATAGGTCTATAATTGATCAAGTCATCTGGGTCAAGAGACGGTTTCTTAAGCAAAGGTTTAATTACAGCAACCTTAAAAGCTTTAGGTACATATCCCTCTAACAGAGATAGATTAATCACATCTAAAATGGAGGAGGAGATCAAAGGGAATACCTCCTTAAATAACCTGGTTGGAACTGGATCTAACATCCAAGGTGAAGGCTTAGATGAAGACAATAATTTTGCTAACTGTGAAAGTTCAACTGGATCAAAGCAGTCTAAACCCGGTTCAGATTCCATGACTACCTCAGATGCTGCCCCCCCACCAGAGACAAACCAATAGCGGATAGAGGAGTACTAATGATCTTATTTTTAATAAGATCAGTCTTATTTATAAAGAATCCCATAAAATCATTGCTGCTAAGAGCAGGTGGAATGGACGGTTCAACAGAGCTATGGCTCTGGGTGAGTTTGGTAACTGGATTAAAAAGAAATCTAGGATTATTCTTATTTTCTCCTCTATTAATTAGGAGGAATATGCTGCCCTTGCTTTACAAAGGGTCCTCTAATACAGCTGGACAGTATTTTTCCAGACTAGGTAGGATTCCCGCAGGCCTGTGGAGAGATATTTTCTCTCCAGTTTCCTAGCATTTTGGAAAACATCAGTCCTGACACGAAACAGGCAGCTAATACTAAGGTGTAATAAACTCACACATCTTCAATGATAATTGTCCTAACACCGTCCTCTCCTGTTAACAACTGGACCCCATTCATCTAAATCCATTTCCGATTTTACCATCCTTCTGCTAAAATCTGCGTTCTACTCCAGTCACACATCAGTTTCTGCGCCAAGAAAACGGTTTGCATGTTCTGTTTTTACTTATACTGTATTTCAGTACAAGTTTGTAATTTCTGAAACACCAGCATGATCCTGCTTGACGGTCCTTCCAGACAAAGCGAGATCTTTCCACCAGCCACTGACATAACTTGAATCCAGGCACAGTAGTAAAACATTGGCTCCTTTTAATCAGCAACACTTGAACAGATTGACCTGAAATAACCCCACTCCCCTTCCCACATGATCAGTTCACAAAAGGAAATACACAAACTATTAATGACTCCTACAACATGATGAAAGGCCTTGATTGATATCAGTTTGTGGAAAGGGAATTAAAAAGATAAACGACAACATTAGATATGGAGTTCCACAAGGCGTCATTTATTGGAAGACGGTATTAGACACAGCTTTTATTTCTAGAATATGATCAACTACCTTTAAATGTTCTGCACTAAAAATAGGTTTGAACTGAAACTTATGTTATTTGATTAAAATCTTTCTGATTCTTTGTTTTTGATGGAGAAATCAAAAGAAATTTTAATTTCAGACAAGACTGAATCAGATTCCCATAGCTTGCATAGGACCTTTTTATTTGGGATTATTTTGGCATATCAATCAATATGCATCAATGAACTGTGGTGAATTGAACCTCATATCTTTTCTTCCTGACTTTAAATTTCCTTCATTAACTTACCTGCAGACTATTTTATGAATCGCTCAGGTCAGCCTGCCATGAAAAATATGGTTAAAGTTCAACTTTGGATCCTTAAATTCTGTCCTTTGAATCAGAGGCGAACAATCAATGAACCACTCAGCATCTTTTCTAGCAGGAATACAGACGGACGCAGCTTGTAGGTTTCACACATTTTATTGGACATGTTCTCAGATATCAGTCATTTGGCAACAATAACGAACTGAAACTCAAAGCATTCATACCACCAAGAAAATAACATTAGTAAGAAGAAGACTGTTGGGTCCATGTTGGCTTTTTATAATCAGTCAAATGTGTTTCGGTTTCCTCACCACTAATCAACACAATCTAATATAAGAACATCCTAAATAAACTGAGACAGAAAAGGTATTTTGGTTTAAACTAAACTAGCAAACTAGTCTCTGGGCTGTGAGCAAATATAGAACATTTCAGGGTAGAGCTGCTGCAGCGTCATTGGTAAAGCGCATTACTCACTGTCTGTGTGGATCGAAATGGAAAATAACTATCAGGCTCATTGCTTTGAGTTGCATTGAGACCATTTATAAAAAAAAAAAAAAAAACATGGCCGATGGAGGAGCATTTGTTTCCTGGAAGTTTACGAGAAAAAAAAGAAAAGTGCGGCATGCTTCTGCAGGGATCCATGATTCGGTTACAACAAGGAAACTCAAGTTCTCAGAATATCACAGTAAAGCAACAGTAATCCGGACCAAAGGGGGAAGACTTTATCTAAACGCTTAATGAGGTGAAGTTCTGATGCAAACAAATCCTCTCTGATAGCAATAATCAGTTCTTTCTAAATAAATAAACAAATGACATCATATAAATAATGTCTGTCATACATCTTTTATCATCTCACACATTTTAATATGTTTTACTGGGATTTTATTTGATGGACAGAAATAAAGGCAATACTTGCAAAAAGGAAAACAAGTTTTCATTTTTAAAATTAATAACGATGTAAATTTAATATGTGGTGCTTTTCAGGCTACAGTTCGCTGGTTCTATTTCCTGCTTCAAGGATTAAAAGCATATATTTTTTACTAACTGAAAAGGATGCATTATCCCATCTATATTTTATATATGAATACAGTTTTAACTGAAGGCCTTCCTGTTAGCTCTGACTTTATGTGTAGGAATGAAGGTTGATCATTTCATATCTATGCCTGGATAGGAGTCCAGCTCTGCGCAGTCATGGCTGCAGCAGGAGCCGCAGGAGATGTTTAAAAAGCCAATAAACTTTTAGAAGTAGAATCATACGTAGCTTTGACCGATTGTTACGGCCCCTGGCCTTTTGTTACGGCCCCTGACCGATTGTTACGGCCCCTGGCCTTTTGTTACGGCCCCTGGCCTTTTGTTACGGCTGCTGGCCTTTTGTTACGGCCCCTGACTGATTGTTACGGCCCCTGGCCTTTTGTTACGGCTGCTGGCCTTTTGTTACGGCCCCTGACCGATTGTTACGGCCCCTGGCCTTTTGTTACGGCTGCTGGCCTTTTGTTACGGCCCCTGGCCTTTTGTTACGGCCCCTGACCGATTGTTACGGCCCCTGGCCTTTTGTTACGGCTGCTGGCCTTTTGTTACGGCCCCTGACCGATTGTTACGGCCCCTGGCCTTTTGTTACGGCTGCTGGCCTTTTGTTACGGCCCCTGGCCTTTTGTTACGGCCCCTGACCGATTGTTACGGCCCCTGGCCTTTTGTTACGGCTGCTGGCCTTTTGTTACGGCACCTGACCGATTGTTACGGCCCCTGGCCTTTTGTTACGGCTGCTGGCCTTTTGTTACGGCACCTGACCGATTGTTACGGCCCCTGGCCTTTTGTTACGGCTGCTGGCCTTTTGTTACGGCCCCTGACTGATTGTTACGGCCCCTGGCCTTTTGTTACGGCTCCTGGACTTTTGTTACGGCCCCTGACCGATTGTTACGGCCCCTGGACTTTTGTTACGGCCCCTGACCGAGTGTTACGGCCCCTGACCGAGTGTTAAGGCCCCTGACGAGTGTTACGGCCCCTGGCCTTTTCAGACTGTGCAGGCTTGTTTCCTGATGCAGGTTCAGCCCTGGCAGATCCTTCTTGCCCTGATTGGACCAGCAGAGCCAATCAGGATGTTTGGCTCACCTACACCTTATCAAAGGATCCTGGAAAGCTGTTAGTTTGGGGACAGTAAGAAGGTTTTGTTAAGCTGTTCCCCCACCCTTGGTTTCAAACTGTTTTAAGCAGGTAGAACTGTTTGACCTAGCTTGGATATTATTCTGAATCAACTTTAGGTGGAGTTGTTCAAGCTAGAAGTTTGTGTTTGGGAGGTTTGGGAGGTTTGAGGCTCCCTTAGTCTTTTCTTTTGGGTTGTTTTGAGTTAATCTGAGACTGACTGGTTTTGGACAGTTTGTAATTTAATTTGCACTGAACCATTCTTGAATTTGTTTGCCCTTTTCTTTTGTTTTAATTGGGTTAAGCTGTATTATGTTTTGGGTCTGTTTAACCGTCTTTTGTTATAAATGATTTTTACATTCCACCTATTTACCTCCCCAGAACCCCCTAAACCTTTGGGACGCAACACTGATTATTTGGATTAAATATAATCAAAAATATTAATGACAGGAAATGTAATTTTAGAAAAAACTTGAGGGAAAAATATTGGCTATTCCAAGCATTTAAAATACTAAAACAATTCAGATTTAGTTTAGAAAATGTACATAATAAATGGATTATAACACAAATATTAGATCATTTAATAATGAATATTATGAAGGGCCAGTCTGAGTCTAGATTTCTAATATTTCATCATTGAATAAGCCACTAGTGTTTCTGTCTTACCTGTTGCCTACTAAGCAAATATGAATCTACAGCCGGCTTCGCTCTGGGAGCTGCAGCAAGGCAGAGACCGGACCACAGTGAGCCGTAAAAGCATATGGATTATTTATGTTTTAAATATCAAGCAGACCAGCATCCCAGCCTTTGGTCCCCCCCCCCCCCCCGCTAGAACTGATTGGAACGAACCACCAACATCAGGAAAGACCTGGCTGCTGATGGTGTCAAACCCGCTGCTGATGGTTATTAATCTGTAGTTCAGACCAGAGAACAGCAAAGTTTAAAAGAATAAGCAGAAGTAGACTTAAAGAGATGTTTCTATGCATGAAAACATTTTTCTAGGTTTTGCATTGAGGCCTAATTAATAAAAATAAAAAAGAAATTACTGTCCTACAGTTATTTATCTGACAAAAGCCGTTCCCCATTATAGGTTTTGTGAACCCAAATATATAAAATTGGTGCCTTGGTGGACTGGACGGGGGGGATGTTCTATCCAGTAGCATCTATTACAGCATGATGCTGCCAACACTTCATTTCTGGATGAGGATGTTGGATCCAGGCTGGATCCTGCTATCAGTTTGAATCTAATCTGACCGATCATGTCATCTCAAGGAACTTTCCAGTTCACCAGATCATCCAGTCAGATTGATTCAAAGTTTTCTATCAAAGGAAAACCAGCTGATTGCATCGACTCATTGACTCTTCAGCAATCCCTCACACTAAGCATGCTTGTAGCGACAGTGGAGAGGAAAAACTCCCTTTGAACAGGAAGAAACCTCCAGCAGAACCAATCCCTCACACTAAGCATGCTACTGAATCCTATTAAGAAAGATACATTTTGTTCCTGTAGCTTTTGTATCTCTACGCATTAAACATTTTAATCTGTTTGCCTTTGATTACCTGCAGGATTAGACCGGGGTAGCTTAACCCGAGGATCATATCTTTACTCTGAAAACATCAGACAGCAGACGGCAGTCACCATGAGGTTAAATAAAGTAGCTTTGGTTTTGGACCGTATCAGGCATCGAAACTGAGTCAGAGCATGCATGCTAAGCTAACTAGCTGCTTTGAACCTTCTCTCTCCACGCCTCAGCAGATGAGCTTATGTTTCACCACAGAACTTATTGCACCTTTAATCTCCAGACAATCTGGAGGTCGTTGCAGAAAGTAGTAAGCTTGTCTTGCAGGTTCAGTGCAGACACCATACTAAAGGAAGCAGATGAACACATGCACACACCACACATTAAGGTCTCCTTAAAACCTACCAGACCTGCTTGTTGGGTTATAATCAGTCTTTGAACTCTGTAAAGCACAGGTGCCAAACTGGTTCCAGAAAGTTCTGTGTGGCTGCAGGTTTTCTTTCCAACCAAACAATAACTCACCAGACTCCATTCATATCATGTCATGTTCAGATTGGACTCCCTTGGTGAGATGACTGGAGTCTGGTGTGCTTGGTTGGAAGGAAAACCTGCAGCTACAGCCCTCTCTGGAACCAGTTTAACACCCCCGCTGTAAAGGATTTCTAAGCATTGTTCAGTTAATAAATATATATGCATCAAAAATACATAGAATCTCTATTATAGGAACACAACAAAAGATAGAAATCTGTACATATCATCAGTAGAATTTCTTCTTCTAGAACGTCCTTTCTTCAAAGCCACAGATGGACCGAGTTTGGACTGTCTGCAGCTCAACAGCAGCTTCTCATCATCAGGTCCAAATGTTTTCCTTTATGGTCGTCCTGCTTCCACGTGTCTCTGTGGGGCGCTAACCCACTGAGAGCGTCCACCATTAAGGCGGACGCTCTGTTAGGTCCTGACCTGAACACCTGAGCAGTTCTTAAACACTGAGCTCTGAAAAGAACCTGGAATCTGAACGTCTTTGTTTCAGAACCAAGTGAAGAGGCTCCAGGTCATATTCCAGTTTTTAAAAATGAGCAAACATTTTATGCTAGTCTGTTTCTGCAAACTGAACCATTGCATAGCCACGGTTCTGTTAGGTGGGAAATGACCTTAAAATGTAACCACTAAGCTAACATTCAAAATAGCTGCATTACGTTTTAACTAGATTCATGTTCAATACACTGAATTAAATATTAGGTGTGCATGGTTTATACTCTTAAACACAGGATAATAAAAGTAGAAGGAAAACATAATTTTTCAGAAGTAGTAGATCTAGAATATAAGTTTATAGTGAAACAGAGCCGGCCCAAGGCACACACACATTTAGCAGCTGCTATGCACCACCCAGAGGAATTTTACTATGAACTGTTGCTCACAGGTGACCAGGAGCAAATATCACGGAGTCTGAATTAAATACCGGAACGTTTTTTTTTCTCTCTCTCTGACCTGATTTAGTTAAAAACTAGTTTTGGTTTTCTAAATAAACTAAACCACGTTTTAGTTCATGTTTTCTATTCATAAATAAATAATATTCATGAGCATAAGTGATGTTAACCTGCAACACAATTTATTTTAAAGAAGTGAACTATTTTGTGGTATCGAGCAAAGAATGGAACCTGGAAATGTTTTCTATTGCTCCTTTCATGTTCTAAAGGACATTTAGCTGCTTGAGTCTTCATGTAACCCTGGGCTGGCTCTGCTGGGGGTCAGTTCAGGACAGATCAGATGAAATCAGAGAATAAAGTCGCAGTTGGACACATCAGCTTTTAACAAAGGGTGAGCAACACTTCCTGGAAAACAGACATAATGGAAAACAGGGGAAATGCTGCATCTTCTGGATCTGCCCAGCATCCGCTTGGATGATGACAACCTTTGCTCCTGAAGGACTCTGGGGCACCGCGACCACAGAACAGCACGGGGTTCCATCTTGGTTTAAAAATCTCCTCTGACTCACTCCTTCTTCTGATTGGCTAAGAGCGAGGCTTCCCAGCGCTGGGCCATGGCGTTCTGACGACGCGGCACTGAAGAAAGGGAGAGGGGGAACTGGAGGGAGGGGGAAATTCAGCTAAACCACTGGAGAAGGAGCAAAGGAGGATGGATGGATGGATGGATGGATGGATGGATGGATGGATGGATGGATGGATGGATGGATGGATGGATGGATGGATGGATGGATGATGGATGGATGGATGGATGGATGGATGATGGATGGATGGATGGATGGATGGATGGATGGATGGATGGATGGATGGATGGATGGATGGATGGATGGATGGATGGATGGATGGATGATGGATGATGGATGGATGATGGATGATGGATGGATGGATGGATGGATGGACGGATGGTTGGATGATGAAAAATGAGCAGAATGGTGATTAACTTGTGAACTAATAATTAATCCAACTGATTAACAAAGCAGAAACTTCACCACATGTTGATGAAGGATATGGAAAAAAAAAACAATCTGTTACTTAAGAGAAAAAAATCCAAAAACAAGTTTGTAAAAAAGATCAAATGTTATCATTTGAGGTTTATTGATGTTTCTTTCTACCTGCTGCTCTCAAAGCCTCTTTCTCACTGAAAATAGCAGCTTAACGCGTTTTCCAAACATGTGTCACAGTCAGCATAAGCCTCCTTTCCCATTGGCTAAAAAGGCTGGTTTAACCCCTTGCTGGCTGCTGCAGGTCCTGCCTCAGTCCCTCTGGCAGAGTCCCGCCAGGTCAGGTACCCGGCAGGACTCTGCCAGAGATGGACAGTCTGGCTTGGCTCAGCAGGATTCTCCCCCATCCTACCAAGCCTGTCCCTTTAATGGACAAGGTCTCAGCCGGTGTTCCTCCCCCCCGCCGTACAGGGCACAGGTTCAGCTTGAAACGTTGATCCCTCTCCTCCCTGGAAAATCGGTGCGTCCCAGATGTATTGGTTCAGGACCGGAAGTTTGAGGCGAACCAGATGTTGCCACGGTAACGGAAGGAGGAGCAGATTTCAGTTGTTATCCCAGTCAGTACTGCGTCCTGTGAGCAAAGTTTTTCTGCTCTAAAACTGATCAAAAACCACCTTAGAACAACTATGGCTGCTGACAGGTTAAGTCAGTGGTTCCCAAAGATTTTCTTCTGGGCCCCCCTTTGGATTACAATAAAATTTCCACGCCCCCACCCCACCCCCCACCCCAAAAAAACAAAAAAAAAATCAACTGGGCACACACATCGTTCAACCAGATATAATAAATCTATACACATATTTTGTTTTCAAACTCCACTGAAGTTTATTTCACACTTCAGGTTGCAACAAAACAAACTACACCATCTTTACAGTGGAACACTTTTGCATAACTGTATTTTAATAGTTCTATACTGTAGATTAGAAGAGGATTCTTTGTTGTCTGTGTTATTTTAAACATATTTCTTTTTTTTATTTGTAACAATATTTAACTTTGCTATAATCTATACATTGAAAAAGCCTCTGTGCAAAATGGAGTGAAAACATTTAACAGCTCCCTGAGAGTTTTTTTTTTGTACTTTAATCCTCCCATCTTTTCAGTGGTTGTAGTGAGCCTGCTTTTTGCTGTAGATCTTCTCAAATCTGGGTTGCAGTGTCACAACTGTCCATTATGCTCAGTCAAGCAAGCGCTGTTTTTTTTTGTTTTTTTTTTTCTTCATTAATCCATACCGCTTCCCGTGCCCCCCCTGCAATGGCATTGCGCCCTCCTTAGGGGGCGCGCCCCACACTTTGGGAACCACTGGGTTAAGTCATCTTGGCACTCTCAGTGTTGAGTCAAGGAGGGCACATGCCCTCAACATGGATGACTTTGTAAAAGATTTTGCTTCTTCCCACCAAAATCGGAGAATTCTGCTCTGTTGAGTGTATCCTGGCTTTGAGTTTGCAGTATGTTGTTCCCATTAAAAGCTTATTTGACCATAGCAGGGTTTCTCAAACCTTTTTAAATACCACCAGGGTAATACTGGTCAGCTCTGGTGGTATTGTCTTGCACTTTACTATTTGGAGGCAGTTTTATTTATTTATTTTTGAGAATTTGTTTTTGGTAAAATTCTGGGCTCTGAGTTTACATTTACATGTTTACTGTTCCATAGTGCCGTTTAACGTCTTGTCTGGTCATGGCAAATCTTTGTTAAATAAACCATTTTAATTTGAGTGTGTGAGAAAATATTTGTTCCCTTTTGTTCATCATTTGTATATGGACCCCTCTGATAAAGCCTTGCTCACCCTTTGGCCAGCCCTTGAAGAAAAGTTTAGCTCCGCCACTGGTCACAGAGGACGATCACGAGCATGTGAGTCACTAACCTGGTTTTATTTTTCAGGCTGTGCCTAGAAGAAGGAGTGGAATCCAGCCTGATGACTTCAAACAGCATGTGGCAAACGCCACCCAGAGACTTCCAGAAGCAGAAGAAAAGAAGGCTTCTGAACTGGCTGACGAGCAGAAGCAAGCAGACAAAGGAAAGCAGGAGTTTCCAGAAGGCGAAGCCAAAGACTGTGCTGACGAGGTAAACAGAAGTCCAGGCCAGAAGATAAGAGATCTGAATAGGTACCGAAGGGAAATCCAAGCCGTAAAAGGGCAGAGTGCCTTCTCCAGGTTGGGGAGGATTTACTGCCCCTAGTGGATCAGTTTAAGTATCTTGGGGTCTTGGTCACGAATGAGGGGAAGATGGAGCGGGAGGTCGATAGGCGGATTGGTGCGGCGTCTGCTGTGAAGCGTGCGCTGTACCAGTCTGTTGTGGTGAAGAGAGAGCTGAGCCATAAACCAAAGCTCTCGATTTACTGGTCGATCTACGTTCCTACCCTCATCTATGGTCAGGAGCTTTGGGTCATGACCGAAAGAATGAGACCCCGGATACAAGTGGCTGAAATGAGTTTTCTCCGTAGTGTGTCTGGGCTCTCCCTTAGAGATAGGGGGAGGAGCTCAGTCATCCCGGAAGGACTCGGAGTAGAGCCGCTGCACCTCCACATGGAGAGGAGCCAGTTGAGGTGGCTCGGGCATCTGGTTAGGATGCCTCCTGGACGTCTCCCTGGTTAGGTGTTCCAGGCACGTCCCACCAGGGAGGAGGCCCAGGGGGAGACCCAGGACACGCTGGAGAGACTATGTTTCTCTGCTGGCCTGGGAGCGCCTTGGGATTCCCCCTGAGGAGTTGGCCCAAGTGGCTGGGGAGAGGGACATCTGGGCCTCCCTAATGAAGCTGCTATCCCCGCGACCCGACCCCGGATAAGAGGAAGAAGATGACATCAAAGATGCTCTCCAAAACTGTGGATATCCAAACTGGGCTTTTATCAAATCAGCAAGTAAACCCAAAAGACACGCAACAGAAGACAGCGATGGGAAAATTTAATACAAAAACATCACAATCCTGTATGTTGCTGCAGTGTCTGAAAAGCTCAAGAGGATTTTCTCCAAACCAAAGATCCCAGAACATTTCAAACCAAACCCTTAAACAGAGGCTAGTGCATCCTAAAGATAAAACCCCCAGACCGAATATGAGCGGAGTGGTATATGCTGTTCAGTGCAGCGAGGAATGCTCTGATCTTTATATTGGCGAAACAAAACAACCTCTCCACAGACGCATGGCCCAACACAGAAGAGCGGCCGCCTCTGGACAAGACTCTGCAGTACATCTACACCTTATGGACAAAGGACATTCTTTTGAGGACCAGAATGTTCACATTCTGGATAAAGAAAATAGGTGGTTTGAGAGGAAGGAAGCCTTCTATGTAGAGACAGAAAAACCAACTTTAAACAGAGGTGGGGGGGGACTCAGATTCCAGCTTCTAAAAACATACAATTCAATCATAGACAGGTTTCAGGTATTACAGGAGATAATCCCCCCCTTTAACGACCGACCCTCGGAATTTACATGTTTCCAAGCGATACAAGGCTTTGTCTATATAAGACTCAAACTCAGTGCGGATCCAGACATTTGAATCGAGAAAGCTTCCTGGAGAGAAAGCGAAACATCTTCAAATCTTGGAAACCAAGTCCAGTCTGCTGTCATGATTCATGCAGCTATTGTTTCATCCAAATGAAAAATGGAGAACAGATAAGCAGATCATGGCTTGTCTACAGTGAAAAGAAGGACTGGGTTATTTACTTTGGCCTTTTTGGAAACACAGGAAGGAGCAATCAGCTAAGTGAGCTTAGTGCTTGGAAAAAAATCTTTCATTCCTTTAGAGACAGCATGAAAAGTCAGCTGAGTACAAAACATAGAGAGGAAAACAAGAAGAAAAGGGACAAGAAGAGAGGGACACAACCTAGAACAGATAATGGATGTCTATTCTATTAACATTTCTCTATCTAGAGAATGGGGCTGTTTGATGTGTTATCTTCTCCATACAAAGGGGCCCCTAAATCTGCCCCTGCTGGGAGCAAGCAGCTTAGATAGAGACAGGAGCAGGTAGATGAGATGAACAGTAATGAGAAACTGGTTAGAGCTTGGCAGGTGAATGAAATGAACCATTAAACCAGTCATCAGTACCAAGAGCATGATAGTTCTCCTAATTAGGCATCAAAGTGGGGTACATTTCTCCCATTTAACCATTACATTGAGGACCAGTTGTTGCAAAGTGAGGATATTTTTCTAGTTCTCAGATCTTCTATCTTACTAATGCTTAGGTTAAGGGCTGAGCTGTCACTTGCTTTAGGGTTAGAGATAGGATAGGTGTTATTTTTAGGGGTGGGGCATAGAAAGGGTTGAAGATGACTGAAAATCAAGGGGAGTCATTGATACCCTTTTCCCACTGACACGTGTCTACCGGGTCAAACGACTCTGACAGCGGGTCGCGTTAAAATCACCTCAGCTCTGATCGGCATGCTGTGGGAACACCAGAGTGTGGTCGACCTGCTAAATTACATGGTAGCATTGAACGCATCGTACGGACGTCAACAAACTGCGACAGTCACTTCTTATCTGACAAGCAGAATCAACTCTGTTTCCATTGGATAAACATGGAGCAGCTCTAGTGAGAAGGATTCAGAGAGATAACAGAGAGAAACAATAAAGCACACTGACTACACCCTGGCTTCTTTCCATGTTGCTCTCCATTGTTTACTTTCCTGACGTATGTCGCACTGTTGACATCATCAACACTAACCGAGTGGAATGATGTCACCATAGATGCAGCAGTGGGGAGGGTAGAGTCGATGCAGCTGCCAGTGAGGAGTTTAACCAGCTTTTTAGGCCAATGGGAAGGGAGCTAAATACTCTACTTTATTGTTAGCGGGTTGAAATATATTTGAAAAACAGGCATTAAGCCTCTATTTTCAGCAGGAAAGAGGCTTTAGAGTCAACACAAGGTCCTCAGTACATATAGAAAGACAAGAGTGTGTGTGTGTGTGTGGCGATGTTTTTGTTACCTTGTGGGGACATTTTCTCAGGAACATCCTACACTTTGGGGACTTATAGGTACTTGTGGGGACCGACGACTGGCCCCGATGAGGAAATGTTCTCTACTTGGGGCGAGGTTAGGGTTAGGACTAAGGTATGAATTGAGTTTAGGTTTAGGGTAAGAATCTGGGTAGCCAATGGAAAGTCCCCACAAGGATAGAGTGACACTACATGTGTGAGTATATCTGCCTACCTTGTGGTCGCAGGACAAACTGGAGCGTTCCATTTTACGTGGTCTGGAGGGTGACGACGGGGAGGAGACAGATCTGTCTGGAAACGCTGGTACTGGAATCAGGACACAGCAGGAATCAGGAAAAAGAAGAACAGCAATGGATTTGAGCCAGAGATGTGAAAATATATCCGCCATCAACGTACCGCTGAAAGTGACGGTTTCATTGAGGTTTGGTGACACCAGCACCGTGTCATACCTCTCTCTCCCTCTCCTCCACTCCTCCTCCCTTTGTTTCCTCCCCATCTCCTCCCTCTGTCTCCTCCACTCCTCCTCTCTCTGCTTCACCATCTTGATCTCTTGCTCCACCAGAGACTGGCTGCTGATGGAGCGCAGCTTGAAGAAGGGATTAGAGGAGAAAGTGCTTTCCTGAGTATCCATGGGTGGCGGCCCAGAGCTCAGGCAGAACTCAGAGGCGCTGCGAATGATCAGATTGGAGGTTTCAACCACTATAACACTGGCAGAGGACGCCACATCCAGGCTGGCCGACCAATCAGAGAGGCCCCCCATGGCAGAGGACAGCAGGCGGCTCCTGGAGCTGGAGCCAGAGGAGTCAGGTTCCAGAATAATGACGTTGTTGGCTGTCATTTCATGATATAGGGGGAGAGATGAGGAGCAGGAAGGGGATGGCGAGATGGAGAGAGTAGGAGTGCGGCAGACTGTAGGTTTGGGCACAGACCGTCCTTTCCCAGGGGTGGGTAGTCTGATCGCAAAAGGAGAAATAAGTCAGCTGGTTCTGAAAGCATGCGGGAACGTCAGGGTCCATTTATCATACCTGGGTACCGCCAGACCCTGCACAATCATCCCCCTCTCCCGACGGTGCTGCTCCTCTCGCTCCAGCGTCAGCCGGATCTCCCTCTCCACAGCACTTTCCTGCTCCTCCACGTGGCTGCGAAACGAAGAGTCATCCAAGCCTGAGTCCTCAGAACCAGGGGACAGGGTGGAGGACAGAGGAGGTTCTTTGGGCATGGGGAGGTGGAGTTCCCTTGTGGAGGACAGGAGGAAACCCCACTCAGGTTAGGAGGAGGTTATACTGGGAATGGGGGCATCTGTCAAAATCTGGAAAAAAGATCTGATCCATAACTGGTTTAATGGAGGCGGAGCTTAAGCTCTGGAGAAGCCATCCTCCATCTTTATCAGTGACGGCGGCATCCAACCATGTCTCCATGATTTGCTTTCTTTGACGTTTCTCATAGTTCTGCTTTACTATGAAACTCACTCTTTTCCTTACAGCTCATTAAATGATCACCAACAGAAAATATTAAGCCTTAAAACAAATTAAATTCAGGTACATTTATTTCAATGATCTTTGATATGTATCAAAACATCTGATCAAAAGAATAAATTATATTTAGGTAGTTCAAACTTTAGAAAAAACTTGCCCACAACTTTGTCAGTTCAAAAAGTACAACAGTTCATGAAGATTTCTGCAAACCTCAATCTGCAATAAGAAATAAAAGGCTGGATTTGGGGGAACAGCGCCACCAGGTGATCATGGAGCATGAATGCAAGGCGTTCAGGTCTGATGCTTCACAGCGAGCACAGCTCTCTGAAAGTTAACATTGGTTTTGATGTGCACCAACAACCAGACATTCATCTGCAGTTCAATGGAATACAGAATGAATGTAAACCTACCTGTGTCTGAGGCGAGGGCTGCGAGTCGGAGGATACAGTGAAGAGTGGGTACCCTGGAAACTCCCCTTAGCTCCCAGGCCTGGTTTAGGAATGGGCAAGCCTTTCACCTCCTCCTCCATCTTCTTCCACTGCTGGCGAGCAACCAAAAAGTCCAGATGCTCTGTGGAGACGTTCTCACTGAGGTTCTCCTGTTGCACACAGAAATCTAAAGGAAGCTGATAAAAAGAAGAGAAAAAAAATCATCTATCCATTTTCTCCTGCTTATCCTGTCAGGGTCTCAGTGGGGCCGGCGCCTGGCAGTCCAGGGGCAAGAGGCGGGACCGCACTCAACAGGTCTCCAGTCCATCGCAGGGCAGCACCGAGACACACTGAGACAAACAGCCACTCACTAAGGAGAATCTAGAGAAGCCAATGAACCTAACGGTCATGTTTTTGGACTGCCGGAGGAAGCCGGAGTACCCAGAGAGAACCCACGCATGCTCAGGGAGAACATGCATGCAAAAAGATCGGGCTGGGAATTGAACCCGAAACCGTGCTGCTGCAAGGCAATAGCGCCCCAAACTGTGTCACCATGTGGTTAAAAACACATCATTAAAATGAAGGTTGTAGTTCTTTTCCTTGGTGAGGAGTTCAACTAAACACCGAGTGAAGGGTTTAGAAAAGCAATAAATGAGAATTTTTTTCTCAATATTAATACTTCCTCATATAGTTAAATAGATCTAAGAAAATAGAACATGCTGAACACAAACAAAGCATATTTTACAAACCTCTCCTTGTGTTCAAAGTGATGATCCCCTGCATACATAACATCTTTCTACCTCAGTGACAGCAGTGGGCGCCATTTAGACAACATTGAGATTGCCATAAAAGACCTGGCATGACCTCTGAAACACTGAGACACGTGCTTAAAGTGAAATGTTGACTAATTTGAACATTTGGAATAACTTCTGTGTAAGCGGGTTGATTAGATTTTCTGTTTAAATATTAAAATTACATTTTAAAAACATGGCTGAGTTAAATCTGTAAATGTTGTACTGGAGTTTGATGTACAGATATAGTTTTTATATTTTGGAATATTTGGAGTATGGAATAATAAAAAAAATGTTTATAAAGTAGATGTTCTTGTAGAAATCGTCTCTAGTCTCGTCTGTTGTCTGTATCTATATTTCTCCACTTTGTTGATGGTCATTAGTTCAGTTTCTCCTTAAATCTCAAGTATTCTCCCTCGTTTTAATGTTATTCAGAATCAATGATGATTGAGCCTGAAAAGTTCAGTTTAGACTACTGGACGTACAGTTTTCTAGAAAGACCTCTAGAAAAACCATGACCTGGAGGACTGAGAATCTCCACAGATGGGATCATAAATGGTAGGAAGTGGTTCACCAGCTCTCTGCACTCTGCTTCATGTCCCAATGTCTGCCAAGTTGTCTGAGCATTTCTCCGCAGGAGGGTTAGGGTAAGTCTGATCTTCATCCCTGACCACACGTCATCATTCTGCTGGAACTTGTTCTCCAGCTTCTTCTTTATGCCTTTTTGCTTTCTTTTATATTAACTTTATGTTGGTTAGGATTGTCCCTCAAAAATGTCTTGACTTCTTTTCTGAAGGCTCTTTTTTATTTTTTTGCAGTTCCTTCAGATCACTGCTGATCCAGGGTTTGTTACTGGAAGAGCATTGAACTAGTGGTGAACAGAGCAGCACACCCAGGCATTAATGTTGTCTCCATATAACTTACATCTAAACAACCTTCTGAAGCTTCCATCTTTTTGCAATTCTCTTCATTGCAGGTTGCATTTGATAAAGAGGATTATATTCTAAGAAGAAAACTAGGTTTGTGATCTGATCTGCCAAGAGTGTCTCACTTCCATAATACAATTGAAAACCATTGCTGTCTCCAGTTAAAGTAGTGAGTAGCTGTGGTGTCGGAAGTTAAGCAGTGATTGTGACTGAAATCATCACTTATTGCCACTAACATATTGGGGTGTTCTCCCTGTAGTTTAGCAACGATTACACTGATGACATCACAGGTAATGTTAGCAACAGTAAAAAAACAATAAAATGAGAATGGGGAACTCTCTGGGTAAATAATAGGCTGCAGAAACTAAACCTCCCAATAATATTTCCTGGATTACAGAATCAGTTCTGCTAATCCACCTCCTGAGCTTCTGCCAACCTTCCCTTAATGTCTGTCTGCTACCATCTAAAAGCTGAGGACATGATCCTGCAGCAACATTTCAGTCAGAAACATAATACTGCATTCCCAATCTTCCACTTGTTAATCCAACTAGTTTGCTTAAGATATCATATTGCCCATAAATGATGAAAGAGAAATCTTGGTTTTCTTATTTTTCTACCTTCTCTTTGCTCTTGCTTATATCCTAGTTTCCTCCCATCCACTTATCTTGGACTCTGGAATATAGTTGAAGTATTTCCCTCTGATTAAGTATTAGTTTCTTTGTGTTTGTTTACTTTCCCATTTGCTCCCTTCTAGTTGCTTCCATCCACACCTGCCCCCAATTAGCTAATTAGTCCAGTCTTTGTTCTGTCTCCTATATTACTCTCCCTGTGCAGTTCCTCAGTGCTGGTTCCTCGTCTTTTCCTGGATTTCTCCTAGATTCTGTTTTATTTTTTATTTTTTTTTTCTGTATTTGTTATTTTGTTTTTTTGCCTCTGTTGCCTGTGAGTTCTTCATTAAATCAGCAAAACTCGTCTCATTGTTTGGGTCCTCAAAACCTCCACTGAACCTGACACTTCGGCTTTGTTCGAAAACCTAGGACGCATCCTTAGAAGACCGGATTCAAAGGTCGATTACGTCATAGTGCGGCGCCGAGGTCTGGTCGGATTCCAAGAGTCCTCGATATGCGGCCTTAAAATGCGTCCTTCTTTTTGCCCAATTTGAAGGACGGGTCTGATGTATCCTCGGTATTCTTGGATATCCCAGGATTCATTGCGAGACCAAGCAAGCTGTGATCAGAGGAAAGGTTACTTGGCGCCGAACAGTGGTGAAAATTGGAAGTTAAGTTTAATATAATACAAGTCATTTAATAGTTCCGTCTGAGATTAATGAAAAATAGTTGTTTTAATGGTTATTGAGTGAGATATGTAGCGGTAATGTTTGGTTTATCTAAAGGTTTTAATCTGTTACTGTGTAAATGGGTTTGGCTGGAATTTAAGGACAGATTCTAAAAGATCTGCAGGGGGGGGGGGACTATAAACCTGATAGGATTTTTATCTTTTTATTGCTGTTTTGCACAATATGCTTAACTAAGTATTTTTTGTTGTTGGATATTAGAGATTTTGCAGATATATTTTTTATAAATACATTGTTTAGATTTACTTATATCTTTCTACCCCTTTTATAGAATAGAATAGAAAATCCCTTTATTGTCCCACGATGGGGAAATTTACAGCAGCAGAAAGATTATTGAAAATGGTCACACAAATGTGGACCTTAGAAAAATGTATAAGAATAACATAATAGGGAAGAGTTAAAATATAAACAATAAAATCCTGTAAAGTGTTTTAACAATATAAAACTGGAGAATAAATAACCAATATGCAGCTATGGACATTTTTACAGTGATGGATATTTGAAAATAGCAGCAACATCAGAGATGAGCAGAATGACAGCAGCAGGTTATTTAACTGACTAAGGTTTCTATCATTACATTTGATTTGATTTGTTCCTGCTCCCGCTGGTTGGAACATTTATTCCATTCTGGATTCTTGTGAGTGTAGTCTTTGTTCGCTTCACAATAAAAAAGAAATAAATAAACAGTTTTGAAAACTTCTGTATTCACTCTTTTCCTGCTTTGTGTGTCAACGTTTACGGTTGCTAAGCAACAGAGCATACGGCGGTAAAACCCGCCGAAGGGTAGACCTGGTCGAATTCACAGCCTAAACTCTTCCGGTCTCCTTATTTTCAAGGACTTCGAAGGATCCAGTCTAGGTAGACCGCGTCCTTGGAGGACCCGTCCTAGGTTTTCGAACAGAGCCTTCCAGTGGTAGAATGGATTTAGCCTGAATGGCTGAAACGGCGAATTCACAAAGATTCAAAGGGCCTGATCCCAGTTTATAGCTCAATTGGAAACAATTTTAACTGGTTAAGAGGTGATGTATGTAGTTTATAATAATAAATTGAAGGAGACAAAATAAAATGTACATTAATTTTATCCTTTCTAGAAAACGGTTGAGAGATTTTGTTTAATTTTGAATATTCCTGAAATTATTTCAAAAGTTAAGAAGAAATAACCTTTTTTTTTCTTGTACATAAAGTACATTTTTTTTGTACAGATATACAAGAATAGATGAGGACTAAATCGGTAAATAATTACACCTTCTGGAAGAAAAGGGATTTTCTGTTTTGAAAGTGAGGAAATGGGCCTAAAGTCTGAACTATGACAACTAATGGAAACACGAGAGCATCGATGACTCAAGTGGTTTTTAAAAATCTTAAAACAAGAGAGTGTCTATAAGGAACCTTTCTATGTATTGTTCTGCTATTAATGGAAAAACCAGCCCTCCTATTGGCCAATCAGATTCAGTTTATCCTCTTTCATTTGTCTGGACAGCGCCCCCTGCTGTCACTCAGGTGGAATGACGGAGATCCTTCAATAAGAAACTTGGAATTAATTGTTTTGTGAGAAAGAAAAGGCTGTTTTATATGAGAAGATGGTTAATTCTACACTCAGAGTTAAATATGCTACATTTATAGAAGCTCATGTGGCTTAAGTTCTAGGCGTTCTGGATCTATTTCCACAGTTATTCTAATAGTCACATCTGTAATTATCACAATAACTATGAAATACCAGTCAGAGAAACTGTTTAGACAATATAGTGCATCAAATAGTTTCAGGTGCTGGGGGGGGGGGGTAGTAGAAAGTAAAATATTATATTATGCACTTTATAAAATATTTGGCAAAGTGAGAAACAAAACATTATGTAGGAACAATAAGGTGAAATATCAGGGATCCAGGAAGTTACTGCTTATTTACAACCAGAAAAAGGCTTAAAATGACTGTTACCAGAGATGGCAAAAGTACTCACTTTCTGTACTTGAGTAAAAGTACAGATACTTGTGTTAAAAAATACTCTGGTAAAAGTGGAAGTACTGATTAAACTTCTTTACTCAAGTAAAAGTAACAAAGTAAATTTACTTAAAGTATAAAAGTAAAAGTAGAAACCACTTTTTTCATGCCGTTGCCTACATTTTAAATGGATGTCTGCCAATAGGACTAGATCTCCGTTGTGTTCATTTTCAATCATCTCGTCGTCCATGCTACTATGCTAACGCCACCGCCACCAAGCTGCAATGATTTGCCGCCAATGAATACCGCCAAATCTGTCGATTCATCTTGTAGTGGTGCGTCAAATGCAACGTAGATTCCCATCCAATTAGATTGAATTTGGTATTGATGACGTGAAAAATAATAACGGTAACTCCATTGAAATGATTCAAAACTAAAGTAACGAGACAATTTTTTAAAATGTAAGGAGTAGAAAGTACAGATATTTGTGTAAAAATGTGAGGAGTAGAAGTAAAAAGTCGCCATAAAAATAAGTAGTAAAGTAAAGTAAAAATATCAGAAAAATCTACTTGAGTACAGTAACGAAGTATTTGTACTTCGTTACTTCCCATCTCTGACTGTTACTGGCTGAAGGGCAACGGGTCCGTGTCGTGGCAGGAAAAGGTGTTGGACGCTAACAGTTTACACATCAGTATTAAACACAGCATGTTTTTAAAATAAACCCGTTTGGAAAGATGCTGCTGATGTGATATTATCACCAGGGTTGGGAACAATCTAACTGATCCATGTATAGAAATAAAACAAATAAGGTCAGAAATAAGCTGTGGCGATTAATGTGAAATAAGACATTAATGCGTTTAGGCCTAATTCTGCCACAATAAATAATAAAATGTGAATAAAAAGAAAAACTTAAGTTCCAAACATTTAAATCTGCTAAACGTTGATGATGTTGGCAGGTAGAGAACAGAGGAAGGAAGTGAAATGTACCCTCCTGTCAGGCTCGGCTGACGTACAGGACTCCATCTGTTCTTCTCCGCCCTCCATGACTCCATCCTTTAGCTCATCTATCTCCTCTTCCTCCAGCGCCTGTCCCTCCTCCTCCCCATCCTCCAGCGCCTGTCCCTCCTCATCCTCCAGCGCCTGTCCCCCCTCCTCCTCATCCTCCAGCGCCTGTCCCTCCTCCTCCTCATCCTCCAGCGCCTGTCCCTCCTCCTCATCCTCCTCCTTGGGGCCTTCAGCTGCGTTTCCCTCTGAATGCTCGGCCCTGCTGCAGGACGCTGAGGCTGGCGGGTCTTCGTCCTCCTCGCTGTCTGAGGACACCATGGCCGGTTCTGCCTGGAGGCTGAGATCCTCCTGGCTCCAGGCCTCCTGCAGTGTGGATGCTGGTGGATCTGCAGCGAGGACTGGGGGCTCAGAGGGTGGATCATCATGGATGATAATCTGATCTTGCTTCATTTCTCCCAGAATTCCTGTTAACCACATATCAACCTCATTCACACCTTCTCCGCTTTCAGCCTCTCCTTCTATTTGTCTCTTTCCCAGATCTTCAGGTTCTGATTCGCCCTTTTCATCACCTTCTCTCCCTCTTTCTTCCAGTCCTCCCTCTCCTCCTTGCTGAACACCTTCTACTTCTCTCCCATCTTCTTCTCCTTCCACCTCCCCTCTTCTGTCATCTTCTCCCTCAATCTCTCCTCTCCCACCAACCTCTTCCTCGCTGTCCTTCTCTGCTTCAGTTTCAAAAACAAGGTATTCACATTCCTTTGGTTCCTGGTTCTCAGTAGCTCCTCCCTCTCCTGGAAGCTCTGGGACTTCCTGCGTCTCCTGGCTGTCACAGCTAAACAGGTTCTCTTCCTCCAGGTGTGTTTCTGTGTGTGAGGGACCAATCTCCATGGCAACTGGATTCTGTGGGTGTTGAGGAGGAGGAGAGTCACTGAGACTGTTGACACCAGAGGGACGGTTGTCGTGGTTTCCGTCTGTAAGTTCAGGTATCGTCCTCCGAAACCCAGCTGTAGCTCTCTGCAGAAACAAAAGCGTTTAAATGAAAAGCAGAAAATGGGAGAAAGTAAACAGTAGGTGGTTGATGATCATATGCAGGCAGCTTTGAATGAACAAATTTACTTTAAGGCATGGTGGTGGAGGGGTGATAATTTGTTTCAATCCTTTTTAAACAGCAAACATGTGATCTGTCATTACTTTCCAGTTGATTGCATCCAGATTCTCTTCTCCCCTTTCTATCCCCATGCTAACATTAGCCCACCTTTCTATCCCCATGCTAACATTAGCCCACCTTTCTATCCCCATGCTAACATTAGCCCACCTTTCTATCCCCATACTAACATTAGCCCACCTTTCTATCCCCATGCTAACATTAGCCCACCTTTCTATCCCCATGCTAACATTATCCCACCTTTCTATCACCTTCTTAACATTAGCCCAACTTTCTATCCCCATGCTAACATTAGCCCACCTTTCTATCCCCATGCTAACATTAGCCCACCTTTCTATCCCCATGCTAACATTATCCCACCTTTCTATCACCTTCTTAACATTAGCCCACCTTTCTATCCCCATGCTAACATTAGCTCACCTTTCTATCACCTTCTTAATATTAGCCCACCTTTCTATCCCCATGCTAACATTAGCCCACCTTTCTATCCCCATGCTACCATTAGCCCACCTTTCTCTCCCGTGCTAACATCAGCCCACCTTTCTATCCCCATGCTAACATTAGCCCACCTTTCTATCCCCGTCTTAACATTAGCCCACCTTTCTATCCCCATGCTAACATTAGCCCACCTTTCTATCCCGTGCTAACATTAGCCCACCTTTCTATCCCCATGCTAACATTAGCTCACCTTTCTATCCCCGTCTTAACATTAGCCCACCTTTCTATCCCCATGCTAACATTAGCCCACTTTTCTATCCCCATGCTAACATTAGCCCACCTTTCTATTCCCATGCTAACATTAGCCCACCTTTCTATCACCGTCTTAACATTAACCCACCTTTCTATCCCCATGCTAACATTAGTGCACCTTTCTATCCCCATGCTAACATTAGCCCACCTTTCTATCCCCATGCTAACATTAGCCCACTTGTCTATCCCCATTCTAACATTAGCCCACCTTTCTATCCCCATGCTAACATTAGCCCACCTTTCTATCACCGTCTTAACATTAACCCACCTTTCTATCCCCATGCTAACATTAGCCCATCTTTCTATCCCCATGCTAACATTAGCCCACCTTTCTATCACCATCTTAACATTAGCCCACCTTTCTATCCCCATGGTAACATTAGCCCACCTTTCTATCCCCATGCTAACATTAGCCCACCTTTCTATCACCATCTTAACATTAGCCCACCTTTCTATCCCCATGCTAACATTAGCCCACCTTTCTATCACCATCTTAACATTAACCCACCTTTCTATCCCCATGCTAACATTAGCCCACCTTTCTATCACCATCTTAACATTAGCCCACCTTTCTATCCCCATGCTAACATTAGCCCACCTTTCTATCACCATCTTAACATTAACCCACCTTTCTATCTTCATGCTAACATTAGCCCACCTTTCTATCCCTATGGTTACATTAGCCCACCTTTCTATCCCCATGCTAACATTAGCTCACCTTTCTATCCCCATGCTAACATTAGCCCACCTTTCTATCCCTATGCTAACATTAGCACACCTTTCTATCCCCATGCTAATATTAGCCCACCTTTCTATCACCATCTTAACATTAGCCCACCTTTCTATACCCATGCTAACATTAGCCCACCTTTCTATCCCCATGCTAACATTAGCCCACCTTTCTATCCCCATGCTAACATTAGCCCACTTTTCTATCCCCATGCTAACATTAGCCCACCTTTCTATCCCCATGCTAACATTAGCCCACCTTTCTATCCCCATGCTAACATTAGCCCACCTTTCTATCACCGTCTTAACATTATCCCACCTTTCTATCCCCATGCTAACATTAGCCCACCTTTCTATCTTCATGCTAACATTAGCCCACCTTTCTATCCCTATGGTTACATTAGCCCACCTTTCTATCCCCATGCTAACATTAGCTCACCTTTCTATCCCTATGCTAACATTAGCACACCTTTCTATCCCCATGCTAATATTAGCCCACCTTTCTATCACCATCTTAACATTAGCCCACCTTTCTATACCCATGCTAACATTAGCCCACCTTTCTATCCCCATGCTAACATTAGCCCACCTTTCTATCCCCATGCTAACATTAGCACACCTTTCTATCACCATCGTAACATTAAGCCAGCTTTCTATCCCCATGCTAACATTAGCCCACCTTTCTATCCCCATGCTAACATTAGCCCACATTTCTATCCCTATGCTAACATTAGCCCACCTTTCTATCCCCATGCTAACATTAGCCCACCTTTCCATCACCGTCTTAACATTAACCCACCTTTCTATCCCCATGCTAACATTAGCGCACCTTTCTATCCCCATGCTAACATTAGCCCACCTTTCTATCACCGTCTTAACATTAGCCCACCTTTCTATCCCCATGCTAACATTAGCCCACCTTTCTATCCCCATGCTAACATTAGCCCGCCTTTCTATCCCCATGCTAACATTAGCCCACATTTCTATCCCCATGCTAACATTAGCCCACCTTTCTATCCCCATGCTAACATTATCCCACCTTTCTATCACCTTCTTAACATTAGCCCACCTTTCTATCCCCATGCTAACATTAGCTCACCTTTCTATCCCCATGCTAACATTAGCCCACCTTTCTATCCCTATGCTAACATTAGCACACCTTTCTATCCCCATGCTAATATTAGCCCACCTTTCTATCACCATCTTAACATTAGCCCACCTTTCTATACCCATGCTAACATTAGCCCACCTTTCTATCCCCATGCTAACATTAGCCCACCTTTCTATCCCCATGCTAACATTAGCCCACTTTTCTATCCCCATGCTAACATTAGCCCACCTTTCTATCCCCATGCTAACATTAGCCCACCTTTCTATCCCCATGCTAACATTAGCCCACCTTTCTATCACCGTCTTAACATTATCCCACCTTTCTATCCCCATGCTAACATTAGCCCACCTTTCTATCTTCATGCTAACATTAGCCCACCTTTCTATCCCTATGGTTACATTAGCCCACCTTTCTATCCCCATGCTAACATTAGCTCACCTTTCTATCCCTATGCTAACATTAGCACACCTTTCTATCCCCATGCTAATATTAGCCCACCTTTCTATCACCATCTTAACATTAGCCCACCTTTCTATACCCATGCTAACATTAGCCCACCTTTCTATCCCCATGCTAACATTAGCCCACCTTTCTATCCCCATGCTAACATTAGCACACCTTTCTATCACCATCGTAACATTAAGCCAGCTTTCTATCCCCATGCTAACATTAGCCCACCTTTCTATCCCCATGCTAACATTAGCCCACATTTCTATCCCTATGCTAACATTAGCCCACCTTTCTATCCCCATGCTAACATTAGCCCACCTTTCCATCACCGTCTTAACATTAACCCACCTTTCTATCCCCATGCTAACATTAGCGCACCTTTCTATCCCCATGCTAACATTAGCCCACCTTTCTATCACCGTCTTAACATTAGCCCACCTTTCTATCCCCATGCTAACATTAGCCCACCTTTCTATCCCCATGCTAACATTAGCCCGCCTTTCTATCCCCATGCTAACATTAGCCCACATTTCTATCCCCATGCTAACATTAGCCCACCTTTCTATCCCCATGCTAACATTATCCCACCTTTCTATCACCTTCTTAACATTAGCCAACCTTTCTATCCCCATGCTAACATTAGCCCACCTTTCTATCCCCATGCTAACATTAGCCCACCTTTCTATCACCTTCTTAACATTAGCCCAACTTTCTATCCCCATGCTAACATTAGCCCACCTTTCTATCCCCATGCTAACATTAGCCCACCTTTCTATCCCCATGCTAACATTATCCCACCTTTCTATCACCTTCTTAACATTAGCCCACCTTTCTATCCCCATGCTAACATTAGCTCACCTTTCTATCACCTTCTTAACATTAGCCCACCTTTCTATCCCCATGCTAACATTAGCCCACCTTTCTATCCCCATGCTAACATTAGCTCACCTTTCTATCACCTTCTTAACATTAGCCCACCTTTCTATCCCCATGCTAACATTAGCCCACCTTTCTATCCCCATGCTACCATTAGCCCACCTTTCTATCCCGTGCTAACATCAGCCCACCTTTCTATCCCCATGCTAACATTAGCCCACCTTTCTATCCCCGTCTTAACATTAGCCCACCTTTCTATCCCCATGCTAACATTAGCTCACCTTTTTATCACCTTCTTAACATTAGCCCACCTTTCTATCCCCATGCTAACATTAGCCCACTTTTCTATCCCCATGCTAACATTAGCCCACCTTTCTATTCCCATGCTAACATTAGCCCACCTTTCTATCACCGTCTTAACATTAACCCACCTTTCTATCCCCATGCTAACATTAGTGCACCTTTCAATCCCCATGCTAACATTAGCCCACCTTTCTATCCCCATGCTAACATTAGCCCACTTGTCTATCCCCATTCTAACATTAGCCCACCTTTCTATCCCCATGCTAACATTAGCCCACCTTTCTATCACCGTCTTAACATTAACCCACCTTTCTATCCCCATGCTAACATTAGCCCATCTTTCTATCCCCATGCTAACATTAGCCCACCTTTCTATCACCATCTTAACATTAGCCCACCTTTCTATCCCCATGGTAACATTAGCCCACCTTTCTATCCCCATGCTAACATTAGCCCACCTTTCTATCCCCATGCTAACATTAGCCCACCTTTCTATCACCATCTTAACATTAGCCCACCTTTCTATCCCCATGCTAACATTAGCCCACCTTTCTATCACCATCTTAACATTAACCCACCTTTCTATCCCCATGCTAACATTAGCCCACCTTTCTATCCCCATGCTAACAT